TAAGTGGGATTTTATCACTGAGTGCTTCACTGAGCAAATTCACTCCCACCAGGCTGCCATTGTAAACAGACACACTGGCCAAAGAGCACAAAACCTGGAGAGATTTTAAATGACACACAACATTAAAATTGTCCAACTGTTTCTATTCAGTCCTCTCTTTATGCTGGTGTACCAAGATCCCAGAATGGCATTGCACAGTATTGCTCCAGGTTTTGCCTTTTTTCCATATGACATGCCCGCTTGAATGAAATGGTCATTTTAGCTCAATCTGTCAAACAGCAAGGTTGAATCTCTGTTTTTGTCACTTGGTGTTTACCACTCTGCTTTCATAAAGGGTATTTGGCATTTTGCCATGACAGAAGGGTAAAGATACAGGTTAGTGCAGCATTAAGGCTAAAAGAGAACCAATTCTTAATGGCTGATACTTGTTAATAGGGACTATCTTCCTCAGAAGTACTGCATATATTAATTTAGAAGACACAAATACAAAAACAATATCAGGTTAGGTCATGTCAGTTAGAATTATAGTTCTCACTCTAATCTCCACTAACTGCTCTCTAATCTCCGCTAGTAATATATGGAGCAATGGTCTAAAAATATACATATTCCTCATGACATGCAAGAAAATTATCAGCTTTGGAAAAACACACTTGCTAATGAATTTTGCAATAAATTTTGCTTGACTATTTACTTAGTTCGTGCTCCCTGAATGATAAAACAGGGATAAAAATTTTGTAGACACAACACTTGTGTTATTTGTTATTACTATTTCCTTTGGTCATATTTTGCACTATTTCAGTCAGTAGCCACCTTCTAACCTCTCTGTATTTGTTGGCACACTTCTCCAAGTGGAAAAGAATGCTAAATCTTTGGAGCTGGAATTTTTCCTGCCTCAGTCTCAGTATTTGTCTTTTATCTCATTTCAGTACAGTTATACCTTTGAATATGTGAACCAGAACAGGACACATTTACCCATTTATATCCTCATTTGACATTTATGTTCACATAAACGTGGCAGTAAGAAAATTCAATATCTCTTGCATCAGGTACCCCTTTGGACCAAAAGTTCAGCCATAGCTGAAGACAACCCATGTTAGGATCTGTGATAAAGGTCTGCTCATGCACAGAGGAGTACAAGCAGGGGACAGTCCAGGTAACACCCTGCTCTGGCTTCTCCCAAACCCATCACAAGAACCATCAGCCTGTCTCCATAATCACAGGTGCACAAGGGCAGGTGGGAACCCACAGAGATTTAGGGAAAGGGAACACTCTGCCAACCACTGCAGCAGTGTCCCAGGAGTCTCAGTCTGGGCATAAAACCCACCATGATGAGACAGTTTGGAGGATCTATCATACTTAGGAGGTTTGATGCCCCAAGGGTGTCAGATGCAATATAGGGCAGAAGAGAAGAAGATTTTGTGATTGCAGAGAACTTGTAAGACATTAGGACAGGAACTAAAGGCAGGGAAATAGATGGATCTAGGTGACCTGGGGAGGAAATGGTGTTAGAAAATAGATCACATCTGTTCTCTGTGTGTGTGCATGTGTGGGTAGGGAGTCCAAGCACCAGCAACTGGACTTGGAGTCCTGCATGGCAACAGCTGGAAAGACTGAAGGGAATCAAACTGTCAGTGAGTGCAGTGGGACCAGGGGTCAGAGGCCCATATCTCTGAGAGCAAGACCACAGGAGCAGCTGGGTGTTGGAGGGACCATGGAAGTCCCGCTCAGCTGCCAGAGACACCCTGAGGTGAGGATATCTTTAGGGGTGAGACCTGCTGGGCTGGGCATGAGGGAAATGGCCTGTACCAGAAGCTGGAGCAGGGCTGCAGCCACAAGGGGCTCATATGTCGTGGAGAGACTAGGATACAGGAGCAACTGGGGATTAGACAGAGTGTATGCTCCCAGCTGTTGGATCTATCTTGTACACACCTCTACACACACACAGTCCCACTGTTGGACATCTGTCCTGCTCAGCCAGAGCGGGGGCAGGATGAGGCTGCTGGTGCTATGTTTGTGCAACTGCTCTGTGTGTGTCTGGGTGACCTGTGCAGCTGGCCTTGATGTGTGGCACATACCTGTGCTGTCTGTGGGTGCTGACTGGAATGTGCTGGGCCTTGCTGCTTGTTGGACCTGGGGCCATGCAGCTGTGGCAGCCTCACTGAGCTACACTGAGCTGCCACCTCTGGTCTGATGCCCCTAATATTCCTGTGCTATAAAGCTACGTCAAAAGCATTCAAGGTCTTCTATCTTATTGTCATTGAGTGATTTACTTTAAGATTTACTCAGCTCAGGGCATGATTACTAATTTCCAATACCTACCACTTAGAAAACAGTTGAATAACTTTTATTTTGTGCATCACAGTGTAACAAGGGGATGAAACAATATATAAAGAGCAACAAGTAAAAAATCCAATACTTGTAAAATTTGGTAAACTAAATGTAGCTGGAAATGCTAGAAAGGGGGGAAAAAAGGCACAAACTGCATAGAAGAATCACAGGAGGAAAAAAAAAAAAAAAAAAATAACCAAAACAAAGCAGGTTGGAGGAAACCTCCAGGAATCACACAGTACAACAGCATGCTGAATTCAAGGACAACTTCAAAGACAGAGCAGGTGTATTCTAGATCCCAGGGCTAGAAACGCAAAAGAGAAGATGTAATAAGAGAAAAAGAAACCATGGACCAGAAGCTTTGGCAATGTGGAAAAAATAAGAAAAGGGAAGACAAAGGCAGACCTGCATTGGAGGGACAAGAAACCTGAGTTAAGAAAAGAAGTTGAGTCTGGTGTGATGGAGAGATTGACAAAGAACTGAAATCAATACTTGGAGCAGGAGACCAGATTAGTGTCAGTTTTTTGAACTGGCTGAAGAACAGTGAAAAAAATTAAGACGGGCTGCCAAGGTGAGAAATCTGAATGGAAAGAAGCAAGTTCAAAGAGGAAGATAAAGAAAAGCTAATAGATTCAGGAAATAAATTCAGATTTTTAAGACAAGATGCCAGGAAAAAAAGAAAGCCAAGGAGTCAAAAAACTGTTCCAAGGCTTTGGGTCCATATTGGTTGCATAGAAAACTTCAGCTGGGGAAAGAGAGAAAAAGAATAAGGAAAAATCACCATTTCTTCTGAGAGGGAAGCTGAGCAATGAGGTAAGTGTTTAAGAACAGCAATTACAAGACCAATGCCTTCTGTGCTTAGTTTACATTTGTTTGCTTTGTTTAGAGTTTCGAGCACACAACTTTTATACTTAAGCAAATCTGTTATCACTAGAAAATCACAGATTAAATGGAAAGCACAAACTCCTAAATCATATCAAATCCTCATTAAGTAATTACCAGCATGTAGTTTCTTCTGCTGGAGAAAGTGACTTGATGTGGTTTGTTCAGTACTTGTAAGCAATTAGCTTTTAAATGGGAAATGAAAATGGATAGTGTTTCATTTTCCTGTTCTTGAGAAAATAAATAGGAAATCCTTTGGTCTCTTGCTGAGTTTGTATTGATGTTCAATTTAAATGTTGCTAAAATCAATAACTAATTAGTAAAACTTAAATTTTTGAGAAATTTCCAAGTTCTTTTGGAAATGTGTCTTTTCTTACATTCTTGAAACACATATTTTAATAGTGTTCCTGCAAATACAAGGAAATATGCAGTAATACAATGATTAAAGACAATATAAATGTGCTGCTTTAAAGATATTTCCATCATTTGATAGAACTGACTTGATTTTTCAAATATAAATATATATAGAGTGAGCATTGACCAGAATATTAGTGTTTTTCTATGAATAGGTTTTTCAGACTGCATGCAGATTTGAATTATTAATGCTTAATTGATTGCTTGTACAAGTTAATTGGCTTCTGCACTATTGCACCAGTAAATGGCATATATGTCATTGTTGAGTGGCATATAGTACTGTGGTACATGTCAATGATCATAAAACTTGGTTCATCCTGATCAGTCCCATTTTTTGAAATCGCTTATTGAATTTATTAACTATTCTGAAAAAAAAAAAAAAAAAGGAAAAAAGAGCAAAGCAGAAATGTGAGCTGGCTCATACATGTTTTTTAACATCTTCTGTCCTCTGCAACAAAGCATTCACATACCATATTCTTAATATTTTGTTCAGAGAATTATATTCTTTTGACTTAAGGGTTTTCACTTCTGTGATATTTTCTTCTGAACTTATTTAATTGTCATTAAACACATTACGATCTCTTTTATGTTGAATCCCAGACACCTTGCAAAACTCACTGCATCAGCTTGAGTCCACTTTACTAAATGGTATCACCTATATAAGACCTGTCACTGTCAGACATTATTTGCCATCGGTTGCATTGTTCTCATTCTATTAATGTAAAGAGAATCTACTAAAAAAACCCCCATGCATAGTGATTATACTGAATCCATATTCTTCTGTAAAGGCCCAGGACTTTTTAAATAATAACTTTATATGATGGGCTATTTCCCACTTCACTTGAAGATAACAAAGTGCATCAGAGCTGTCATAAACTTTGAAATTCCAAAGTGTCACGCTGCAGCTAACAATTTTTATGTGAGTGGCTGTGGCTCAAGCCTGATTTGAAAAACATGTGTGTAATGATTCAGATCATGGATTTCTTGCAATGTTTTATGCAGGACAAGAAAGGATGATCTCAAACCTGCTAAATGGAACTGGATATCACATGACATTACATACCTTGATTTCCTACCTAATGTCTCTCTCTAAAGAGCAGTATTTACCAATGATGTATGAGCACTCTGAGAAATCAAACATTTTATAGGGTAAGATGTCCTGGCCACAGCTGTTATTCTGATTTTGGGAAGGAAAGACTGGGATTAAAGGATCACTTCCCTCTCCTGGACCTAGAAAGTGTCTGGAAGGGATTGCTTCATGGTTGCATTGTCTTTTGGGCAGGAGGGCTTTCGTTGCCCTGGAGGAAACACGAAAAGCTGTCAATACTCACAGGATATGGTTAGTGAACACATGATCTAAAATACTGAGCACGTACATGGCAAAAGCTCCTCTGCAGGGTTTCTTATTGCCACTTCTCTCCACGTATCACCCTCATCCTTGTCTTCGGAAAGCCAGCTCTCTATAGGGAGACAAATCTCTTCAGCAGAAACAGGCACTACTCTTTCAAGTCTGACTTCCTCCAGGTACCAGCTGGGATCATTTCCAGTGTTGTCGTGGCCAATGCGGATTTTATATAGCTGCCCAAGATCTCTGAGATTAATCTGTAAAAAAAAAAAAAAAAAGAAAATTAAAAAAAAAAAATCCAGATTTTGATAACAAATTGCATTGTTGTCTTTAGCCATCCTTCTTATACTGGGCGTGCAAGCTAAATGTGCAGCTAACATAGCCAAGCGTAATAAGTTTTGTTAGAAAACTAAGCCTAATATGCAATGAATCCCAGAGACAAAGAGTGAAAACATGTGGAGCAGTCTGCAAGTGTAATTTTATTTACTTCAGTACCACATTATTTAAAGTGAGTAAAGGGTTCAGAGAATGCAGTCGGTTTCTAGACCTCTTCAAGGAATCCATTTTCTAGTGTTATAATCTCTGTTCCTAGACAAATCCTTTAACAAGCAGAACTAAGTTCAGTCATTGCTACACCAAATCATACAGGTCCATGCAGTTACAATCAGCAGAGCCCTATTATCTATTCCTACCAATTATCAGTCTGCTACTTTTCTCATTGACTCCTGTTTTTATGTGCCCTCGTGCCAGGGTTAACTGTTTCTGTAAGTGCTGATGCTACACTGCAGCAAATTTGAACAATAAAACATGGGTATGTCGCATTGAATATCGCAGCCTTGAAATAAGAGCCGCTATGTTTTGGGTAGCAGAAGTATTTTGGATAATTCTGATGGCAAGAATCAAAGAACAAAAGCAGGGTTAACCACTTTCAACCATTTTTTTTTAAACTTTTTTTTTTTATCAGTGTAGGGTTTGAAAGGTCATGGCAATTGGGAAAAAAATCACCAAGTAAAAAAGAACAAAAAAGAGTTGCTTCCTTTACTATTACAGCAATTTTGTACTATTTCACATCAAAACAAAAAGGATAAAAAGGAAACAAATGTCCCTGAGGCAAGCCTGGCACAACTCGCTCTCATAGGCTGAGGGCATGGCATGTATGCTAGTAGTAAAAAGTCTGAATAGAGTCATACTTATGACGATTGTAGTAGGTTTTGCTATATTAAAACAGTATGTTAAAGTGAGATGTGCCAACTGAAGGTACAATTATAGCTTTAATGCAATAAAACCATGTACCTCAAGGATATGCTCTTAACGCTCACAGTGGAATTACAACAACAGACATAAAAAGCAGTCTGACGCTAGCCACAAATGTAGCCAGGACATAGGCTAAGTCGCCCTAATAAATGTCATCCAGGTCCAAAACAGAGACCTCTGCAGTGGGCAAGGGACTAAGATTACCTTGAAAATAAATATAAAATTATATTAGAACTCTCAACCTTTATTGCAAACTGAGTAGAATATGGTATTGGTGAACAACATAGGTGGTGCTCTCCTCTGAGACACAGGCACTGGTTACTATTTGTGGTGCAGAAGTGTTAAAGGAAAATTTTGGAAATAAACCACTGATACCTTGTGATCTTATGTCCGTGATTAAATTCTGGCTTAATCCCTGTTAAGAAGAGAAGCATCACAGCCATCGCAGATTATTGTATGCAATAATCATTACTGTGATTCTTGGTCAGGACCAGGAAACTCTATTAAAGAGTCCCTTTCAATTTCTGAAGCAGCTAATCAGTCATTTGTCTATGAAGCAAACCAAAACACTAATAAAGCGAATCTTGCATATCTATTTTATATACATATATATATGAGTTATATTATGTATTATATGAGTAGGCTCAAAAGTGAAGCTAAAACTTCTTCAATCATATTGATTTATCATATTATGCTAAAGTGGATTTTTTTGTTGTTGTTGTTCCAGAAGGAGGTCTAAGATGTGAGATATGTTTCCAAGTGAATTCCCATGCAAAGACCATGAGCATGTCCTTCTGGTCCTTCTCCTCCTGCTGTGCTCCAGCAGATCCATTTCCTTCTTGTGCAGGAGGCCCTAGAGCTGGATGCAGCACTTCAGGTGGGGTCCCACAAAAGCAGAATAGAGGGACAGAATCACCTCTCTCAACCTGCCAGCTGGATAGTAGATGATCTTTGGCAGATCCCTGATACGACCACAGAAAATATCACAAAAATAAGCACATGTAGGAGAGCTGGCCAAAATAGGTGGGGGGAAAGGAAAGAAAAAGAAGAAAGAAAAAAAAAAAGCAATTTGAAAAAGGAGAGTGAAATTATGAAGCCCATTCATCACCATATCAGCACACAGGGACTTCCTGATACAGGATAACCAAGAGAGCAATCCATCAAACCTAATCAAACAAAGTTCCAAGGTAGAGAACAGAAAGCTCTGTCCAGACTTTTGGGTTTCTCCAGGAGATGTATCTAGTTGCAACTAGTTCAATTAGATTTGTTGACGTCCTGTTCATCATCTCTAAATATGTATGTCCTTGTGTCTTTCTATACTTTCTATCCCTCCCTAACATTCACACTCTAAAAGCAGTTATGATATAACCAAAGTAAGAAAGCTATGACCACGTGCTAAAGGAGAATTTGCCCAAAGTTTCAAGTCAAATATATTTGCTTGCTTTCAGCTAAAGGGAGAAACAGCATCAAGCATTCTTTTCTATTTGACTTACAAAATAAGAGGTTTTTGTATGGTAAATTATGCTGTACTTACAGGTAATGACATATTTCTGAGTCTGAAAAGTCTCAAAAATAATTCAAAATACAGAACACTGCCCATTTGATAACAGGCTTAGTAATATGCTTATATTTTTTGCATAAAATCATTTTTCTGAATAATTGTTTATTAGTGACCTTGAGGGAGAAAAGTCATGTTTATTGTTAGATGGAAATTAGGCAATGGCAGAGGGGAAATCAATTGTATATGACGTTCTGAAAGACATATAATACAATTAGAAATTTATTTTCAGTACCAGTTGCATATTTGGGGCTTGGAACAATGCATCTTGATGTCAGATCAGATATTGCATTGGTTGCCCAGTGGTATTGACTTGCTAGCATGTTATTTTTTGTCAATTGGAATCCCATCAAATGTATGTCAAAATTTGCTCTTGCAGTGAAATGCAGAGGAAAATATTCTCATAACACAGTAGAGCTAACGATATTCTTTTGACAATATAAACAGTGTCTTAAGGTTGCTTCTTCTTTCCCTGTGTTGAATAAATTGCCTTGAACTTCTGCATGACTTGAACACAACCTGGCATTTAGAAATCTACTTTCAAAGCCAGAACGTTCTGCAAAAAGTTGTAGAACAAAGCTGACTTTGTCGCCCTTGTTAGCAAAGTGCTTACAAAAACTGCAGTTTAGCTGCTCTATGCTGTTCCAGCACTAAAGCTGCAAAAGTAACATTCCTTTTTATATGGAAACAGCCATTCTGATAGGCCTGCAATAAAAGTCCGAAGAGGAAAGGATGAGTTGAGGACTAAAGCTTTGCTCTAAAATCAGACAGCTAAGTTCTATTCCTGGATTTGCTTTAGGCTTCCTGAGAAACCACAACATTCATAAACCCATTTTGCTCCACTTTCTCAACTATACATGGACAACATTTACATGTCTCTTACAGGGACATTGCAGATCTCTCTTCATAAATTTTGAGATTCTAGGAAAAAGGCACAACTCCAAAATTCTGTATTTTTTCCTAAAATGTTCTGTTAATTTTGTGTTAGTTGCTACTTCTCTAAAATTCAATCGAGATATCAAAAATTATTAATTGTAATGATGTAATAGAGTTTGGACATGGAGGGAAATTCAAATTCCATTGTGATGTGTCTTACACCAGCCACCTATAGAACATAAAACCTAAACTGCAGAGGTGACAAACAAGGGCATGGAAACACAGATTGAGGTAAAGGGATGTAGACACCAGAAGCATCAGGTATGGTGACCCTCTTAGGGATGACCTGTTAGAGAAATCTTCTACAAATGCCAACTTCTTCCCAGGAAAAGATTTTGCAAAACACCTGAGTCATCATCTACAGTTAACTTGTTGGTTGATTGTGGGTCTCCTTCTGCACTAACTAGTTTGTCTTAAGTCCTGTAATAAATTCCACAGGGAATGGGCCTCATATAGACATTGCTTATGTGACAGACTGCCCGCACTTAATAAGCTTAAAAATATCATTGTGACTACAATGATAGTGGTAATTCTATTGCCTTTGTAACATTGTTCTTCACTGTTACAGGCAATAATATCAACACATCATACATCATGGTACAAGTACCAGTATTGAAAAAACTGTCCACCACTTTCAAAAGGCCATGTTTTCACACACAGCATCTTTGATTTAGTCATATTCTAAATTTTTGCAAGCAGCTAAACTAGACTGACCTGCTAAACAATACACCTATGTACTTTGCTCATTGCTGCTATTTATAGGACTAAATAATCTTCTTACTATAGGCAATGGGAACATTTTCATTAAATCATGTGTTAGACAACTTGGCCTTACTTTTTGAAATTGAAGCTTAACAAAGCTCATATTTTACAATTTGCCTCTAAGCATAATTGAAATCCAGGTTTATCAGCAAGAAGTTCCACCTAAAGAGGATGCAAGGACTAAATTTTAATTAAATTTCTAAATGAACTATGCAAATACACTTTTTGGTCCCTAGCATGCCTGTGATATTTTGAATGGAGTCGGTATGACCTATCTTCATGTACTTAAGATGTTTAACTAAGTGAAAAGTGAAGTTCTTTGTCAGAAAAAGAAAAGGTTCAGTGGAAAGATACTTAATTAAAAGGATGGAAAAAATACATGTAATTACTCCATTTCTCTTTTATTTACTAAAATAAGCAAAATAATATCACTGTTTTCCTGTTGTGTAGATAGTATCCTGCAATCTCTTTGAGATAAACTCAGGCTAGCATGAAAATTATTTGGATAAATCAACACTTCAGAGGCAGCTGCACCAAAATCATAATGTCTAACACACCCACCAGAGAATGTCCCTGACAGACAGTTATTATTTCATGTAAGACCACTTCATTAACAGAATTTCAGAGAAGTCATGTACAGCAGTTGGATTCCCAAAAGAAAGAAGACTCATTGATTGCATTACTATAACTTCTATAGCATCGGCATATAATAGAAAAATCTTTGGAAGTAGATGATAATTTTGAATTGTGAACATGAAGCTAATAACTGTTGCCAAAAATGCAATAACTATTATACCAGTACAGTACAAAGGGTCCACCCATGCTGATTGTTTTTTCCAGATGTCTGAATTCAGCCAATTTGTTAATTGTGCCCAAAAACTTGGTACAGTTACACACTAACTCAAGAATTAGAATATGTCACAGGTGCTCACACAGAAATGTAACAGTGTCATGAAAAAGGGTGGATATAGACATGTAAGGAATAGGATTAAAGGCCACACAAAGATCAGCATTATTTTTTCCTACTTCATACTTCCTTTGGTCACAAAAATAGGTTGGTTAAACAAATACTGCTCATTGCATAGTGACTATTAAAACACTTTCTTTTCCAGTGCACTCAAGCTCTGGAAGAACTCACCTTTACTGTGTGGTTAATCAAATTATGCCTACAACAAGTACAAATATTCATATATATGTGTATATAGACATGCTTGATACTGCAGTACATACTGCCTAATTACTGAACAAGTAACACCACATTCCCCACTCCCATTTCCTGAAGATGAGATGAGCTTGTTTTTCTCCAAGATTTTTTGTGAGCTCTTTATAATCCTGTGTTGTTTCTTGGAACAAGCCAAATTTTGTTTAATGCTCAGCCTGTAGCTGATTAAGATAATTTTACATACTTCTCCCTTTTATCTTAGTGAGGGATGAGATTCATCTTGTTATCCTATGCATTTCACAGACAGTGACAGTTTCAAGTGGAGTAACAGTCATGGGTATGAGTGTTTTATGCTGCCTTAAGGAGATCTGACTAAAGCCTGGGCTTCTCTAAGTATTATTCAACTGTTTCTGGACCTAAATGGTCACTATGGAAGGCAGGAATAGCTGGAAAATAGCAGGACACAAGCAATGACCAGCTTTTAGGCATTGTCAGTCCCATGGTTAAAAGAGTGTGGATAGCTACATTAGTGCTTGTGTCCTCTTTTGCAATCTTCCCACTCTGGAAGGATTCTGAGCTCATTTCAGCCTCTTTTATTTGAACATCACGAGCAAAAGCATGAAAATGGATTTGTTTCAACCTATTTTTGAAACATTTAGTTTTCTTCTCACTGCTTCTCATTTTACTTTGGAGATCTCAGTTTTGACTGCTGAAATAATGACTATGGATCCAGAGTACAGGAACAAAAGAGTCACAGTGAAACACAACTGATTCTTAGAATCTGTAGGGCTGATTCTAAAGGAAAGAGTTTTAATTATTCATGTATAGGTTATTTAAAATGTCTGATAATTTTATTTAAACTGGAGGAAAACAAAATTAAAAACAACAGATCAACTTTTAAGTGTAGCACATTCTTGAGACTCAGTATAGCATGAAGGTGCACCTGATGAACACAGCTCTTAACAAACAAAGTGGAAGTGGAATGAAAATGAACACTTTAACAGTCTCATCATAGGAGCACTATTTATTAAGTTTTATGGTATTAAGTATCTCTTCAAGTATTACATAAGCCCTGCTTTTTTCTTCTCCCTACATTACTTTCTGGTATTTGCCCTAGACCATAGAGTGTTTAAAGGATTGTTTATGTGGATGAACATCATGTAAATGGATGTGGCACTAGCTTTAAAAGTTAGAAAAATGAGCTCATGCAGCAAAAATCACACCAGGGTTGGATTTCAGTTTCCAATGCTCCTAAAATATCATGCATACTTCATGTTCTGTACTTACAAACATGGAACAGCTACCTTCCTTACAAAAACAGCCACCAACCCCAAAATATAATCTAAGGTTAAACTGAAGATTTTGAAGATTTCTTAGGAAAAATTCCAACACTTCTAGTAGTTTAATTTAGTGTTATTTTTTTAATTGATAATGTTTTGAGATTCTTAAGACCAACACCACCCTAAAGAGATTGAAGAGATGATTATGAAGCAAATTCACAAAGAAAATAATGAAAAAAGCCTTGTTAGGGAAATGCTAGGTCCTGCCACTATCACTAAGGCAAGAAGTATTTTGAAAGCAGATCTACTGAACCAGTCTGTGTTTTTACTGGTTCCATTATTACTAGAACAGCAGAACTTGTACCCGAAGGTATGGAATTATTATGTATGGAAGTAATAAAAATTGAGAGATTGCAGCTGGTTTGTACAGAAGATAATAGGCTTACAGTCTTATGCTTAGTTCTCTTTGACACAGAAGGGAATATTTAGCATGACCAAACTTTAAAAGAATATTTTTTGAAGAATTTCTTTATCAAACAGTGTGTACAGTCATAAGAGATAATTCGGCATATTTCAAAGAATGATGATGCAGAATACTGGACTCTAGAGAATATAATTTACAATATAATTAAAGCTCCAATGTCTTCAGCAACCCAGCGTTCTGCCAAAATCAGTATTTTTGAAATACTGAGAAATACTCAGGGACTGTGATGACACCAGAGGAAGATGCAGGAAACAGATCAGAGTTGTGATGAAAGCTGTAACTTATGGTAGATTGATATTCCTCTACTGGAGAAGGAATGACTCTCAACAGAAAGATGATGCCCTAAAAATTATGCCTGAATAGTAACAGAAGTAGAAAACACAGCCCAGAAGTATTTTCTTTGAACACACAGGGACAATTCAGAGCAGAAAAGGAAATCTATCAAATTTAATTCTGTTTTTTTCCTGCTCCCATATTGTTTATCCTTGACATACCCATCTGGTAGGAAAAATGGCTAAGCCACAAGAGAAAATGCTGTGCAGAGTACATATGACTGTTTTGAGGAAACCTAGAACCCAGGACTGCAGTCAGAAACAAGAACTGTCCCCATCACACAGTTGAAAATTCAATGAATTTCATGTACTGCCATCATATGGAAACCTCTAAGGGTAATAGCCTTGTTACATTATACCTGCATTACAATGGATGTTGGCCAGTTTTTAATTTCATTTACATGGACCTTAATCAGAGATAGGCAAGGTTAATGAAGTTACACTTGCTTTATAAAGCAATAGAAGCAACAATAAAATTAAGTTCTAGAATGAAATCTCGGGAGGCTATAAAGAAGCGCCAGCTGATGTACTCAAGTTTTATTAACTTCCTTTTTTCATTATTTTTAACTTTACTGAATATTCATTGTATACTTTTAAGTATCCAAGTAACTACACAGTTAACTATGCTTTCTATCAGACTTGATTTTTTATTAAGGCAATCAAGTACAGTTTGGTACCATTCTCTGTGATTTCTTATGGTTGTAAGTGTGACTACAGGGATTTTGAAACTATACAGTATTTTGATTTTTTTTGTGAGGCATGACTGTGTTTTATTTGTTTCCATTACATTATGCTGATCTCTTCCAGCACCCTTTATCAATTAACAGTTTCTTTTTAAAAAAACTATGCTAGAAAGTTTCTGTCTGGCTGATTTTGGTATCAAAAGATATTTCTGTCCCATCTGTCACTGATTTCCCATCATCTGTCTATTATGCATAAATTATTTAAACCTAAGTGACATATCACAGATTTAACTACTGCAACAGGTACAGTCCTGACCAAGGAACTGCATGAAGTAGAGAAAATGGCAGGAATTACAGGATCTTGTAGAAGTCCTGAGAAATGCCACTTTTCTGAAACACATCTCAGAGATTTTTTTGGTCAGCAGAGAGAAATATCTCCATTTGCTTGCAGGAACAGGACAACACTAGCTTAAATCACATGAGTTAATTTAATCTATGTGATTTACCTCTAGTTTCTAGCCACCCTTCCTCCCCTTTCCTTCTTACTTTTGCCAATAAAAAGTTCACACAAGAGTAGTCTTCAGTGGAAGTCTGAGGAAGTTTGTGGAAGAATTTACAGTTGACCCTTCCAAAGATGGATATGCAACACAAACCATAACCAAGACTATCTTAATACATAAATGCAAATAAAGTTTTTTTACTTCTTCAAATGAACACCTAGTGTAAACTGGCACATCAAGATGCAAGTAGGAAGCAGATTCTGAGAAGCATGTCTGCCCCATGCAGTTGTGAACACATTTCCTGATTCAAAACTTATGGTTGTTAAAGTCAGCCGCTCCTTCAGAAATATTTAATCATCTTTGCATGTTTATTTGAGTCTTTTTTATTACCTCTGTTATCTAGTTTTGAGAAAAGCTGCTTTGTATTTGTTTTGAATTCTCCAGTGTTCATATACCAGCCATACTGTACCTTAAATGTATCTTCACTGTTGGGATTAAACAGCTGCTGTTTCCCAGAACCCAAAATAATAGGACCAGAAGCTTTGTTTTCTCCATAAGCATAAAGGAATACTGTTGCTGTTGTGCCAGCTGTTTCAAAATCCCCAGTGACTACAGTTATCTTCCAGTCTCCTTCTGTAAAGTAAAAAAAGAAAAAAAAATTAAATGCTTTTAAAAATGTTACTTATACATAGCAGTTTGCTTGAAAGATGTAAGTGACAGCATAGTTTGGCCCAAGGACTGTGATTACACAGCACCTAAAAGGTAATGATGTCAGCAGAGGAAACAGAGGATTGGCCAAATACTACATCATTCAAGCTCATCTTAAGCAAGTTATGGATTAAGGATTGAGGAGGTTTACACTGCACTAAAGCCAGAAATATGAATAAAGAGTTAAGTGAGATTTCTAGTGATAACCCTGAGAGTCAACACAGAAGCAGACCACCACCCAGAGGTTGGATTATGACAACAGTATAACCAAGAAATGCAACAAGAAAAATGTCAAAGCATCCCGATTAAGTACAATTTCCTCTCATTTTAGGGTGATGTGACACATCAACAGAGTTCCATTTGCCTGGATGGGGGCATGATACAGAAATCAGCATGAAAAAAAAAGGTTTTGTAGAAAATTCTGAACTAGATTAGAACTCATTAGAAAATCATTTTATATAAAGCTCCCTGGCACTAAAATGTCATCTCAACTCCCATAAAATGTACACGTTATTTAAATATTCAAAAGCAGCTTAATAAAATTCTTATTTTAAAAAAGAACAATTCATAATTGCAAAATGCATTTCTACATCTGAAAAGATGGGATTGCACGCTTCTCCACCCCTCATTGATTACAGCTTTTGTCTGTGTGAAACAAGTTCCACACAGCGACTTGAATTCATTCTGTTCAAGGCAAACAACAAATGAAATACCAGCCCCCAGTCATCTTATAAATAAATGCCATAGTGCACACTGCAGTTTAGTAGAAGGCTGTCTGGTAATGCCTGCATGATTTAAATCTGTTGTCTGACAGAAGATTTTTATCTTGGGCCAGCCTCATTATCACTCAGTAATTTGCCCCACAAAAATTGAACTGGAGCAGGAAGTTTGATTTCCTGTTTTCCAAGTCTTTAGAGGTCTGGCTGATGTCTGGTTTGGGAAGGTGATAGAATTTTAAATACACATAAATACACAGCTGGGAATACAGAAAGCAGCACTAGCTTATTTGTTCTGTCCAATCAAACCTGGCCCACAGACTGAGGGAAGGAATTGTCCCCTGTACTCTGCTCTGATGAGACCCCACCTGGAGTACTGCATCCAGCTCTGGGCTTCCCAACAAAAGAAAGAGGTGGACCAGTTGAAACAGGCACAGAGAAGGGCCATGACAATGATTAGGGGCTGGAGTTCATCTCCTTTGACAAACGGACTAAAGGTTGTTGTTCAGTTTGGACAAGAGAAGGTTCCAGGCAGGTTGACCTTATTGACAGCCTTTCAATATATTAAGTTACTTAAAAGAAAATCGATGAATTTTTGCAAGAACAGGTAGTGATATGTCAAGGAGGAATGGTTTTAAAGAGAAAGAGGGTAGATTTAGATAAGACATGAAGAATTTTTTGGTTTTTGGTGGGTTTTTTGGTTGGGTTTTTTTTTTTTGGTTGTTTTTTTATTTTTTTTTACTTTGGTTTTTTGGGGTTTTTTTTTGGTTTTGTTTTGTTTTGTTTTTTTACTGTAAGGATTGTAAGACACTGGAACAGGTTGCCCAAAGAAGTTGTGGATGTCCCGTCTCTGGAAGTGTTTGAAGCCAGGTCAGATGGGACTTTGAGAAACCTGGTCTAGTGGAAGATGTCCCTATCCATGTCAGGGGCTGTACCAGGCATCTTTAAAGATTTCTTCCAACCCAAACAATCCTACAATTCCATAAAGGAAGTGAAGCATCCAATTTTCACTAAAAAATATCAGACTCCAGCTTGTAAGAAATTATTTTGTGCCTTTGAAAATCCTCATCTTCACAGCTTTCTCTATAGATTCACTTCCTTGATAAAAAACCACAGCACCAGAAAACAAAAGGATAAACATCAATTAGAAGAGTGAAAAGCCTCTATACACTGATGGTGGAAACAAAGAGCATAAGGCAACGGCATCCTGCCCCATAGAAAAAGAGCTTGTTTACAAAAAATTCAGCCTTTTCCATTTTCAAACAATATAATGCTAATTTCTTAAAGACAAAGAACCATTTGACTGGATAATAAGTACAATTCCATTTACAAGGGTTTATGAAGAATGGTGCAGACAAGGGGTAAAATATGACCCACTAGTCCTCCTAAAATTTCAAACACCATTCAGAAACAAATACTCATTTCAAAGCAGGTAAAATGTATTTTCTTTTTGACATGTTCATTGATTAATTGTGCCTGAAGTGGTTTTAATGACCCTTTCTATTGTATTACCCTCTCAAATTCTGTCTGCTGTCTTTTTTTAAGCAATGAGGTTCTGAAATGATGCAGTTGTTACTATTGAGGCTGCATTTTCTAGCTAGTTTAGCTCCAACCTCCCAAGTATAAGTTCAGTTTTTGCACACAACTACCCCTCTGAAGGTAAAGTAGGGACTCAAACTTCCCCAAAAACATAATTAAGAAGAGTTTTGATTTGAACTCCTCTATATTGAATTTGAGGCTTGTTTCTTTTTTCCGGAAGTAGAAAGGACTTGTGTTTGAAAGACTGTGTGGGTATAGGAATATAGTCCTTAAATTTCTAATCTCTCAGATGCCAGAAATTCTCATTGCAGTGCATTGCATGCTTCCAAATAGAAAAGGGAAACAGTAAGTATTACAAAAACATAATTCCTGTTAGCATAAAAAGCTGGGTTGTTCTGGTGAGGTAAAGTACCAATAATTTCTTAATGACTGAAGAGGAACACACTTTGAGGGAAAAAGAATACAGATAAAGGTGTTATGACATAACTTTCTTTTAGCATACATAGAGGAAAGATGCAACCTATCACCTGGGGTACTGGGGACATCAGAAAGTGGTAACTTGACACAGATGACTGTCTAGACATGTGTTTTGTTTTGGGGTTTTTTTTCAATTTCTTATATTATTAGAAACATTACAACACACTGGAAAGCTCTACTTCCTAGGAAAATAATTCTGGGGTTTTTTTAAAAAGCAACACAGAAAGAAAATGCAATATGGGAAAAGAAAATACAGAAAGAAAAGCTCATGGGGAAAAAAGGTAAGTGAACTCTTAGATCAACCACTAAACCAGCAATTGCAGCAGCCCCTCTTTCAAGTCTCTTTCCCACTGATCCATGTTTTACCAAGTGTCCCAAACAAGAAGCTATTTGTTTTACACACTTTTGCCTTACTCTGATTGAGATTTTTGCACAGCTTAAATGACGTAGACCCAGCTGTAGGTGCAGAATTTGAATTATGGAAGGGAAGGTCTCTCAGGACAGGCCATGCAAAAGTGAGGTGTGTGGAACAGATAAAGCACAAAGAATGATAAACAAAGAGCAAATTACTGCCTGCTGGAAAAAACATAGAAAGCAAGAAGCACAAAAATACTTGTGATTCAAAAGAAAATCTATAACAGAGTAGGATTTTAATATACTTTCTAAAATAACTGGGCAAAAATTTTATTGTTACCCAATTGCCATAGGAACAAGATTTAGGACAAGGTATTTGGGTCTTCACGGATATTTTCATTGATGCAACAAATTTTGAATAAGCATTTTCAAACTTTCTCACAATGGCTTCTAGATCATTGTTCATCCTACAGCATGGAGCACTTCTCATAGCTGAAAAATTCTAATGCGTTATTAAGAAATTAAATTTAATCTGCTCTGTTTGCCAGGACAGAGAAGTCAGCCTGAAGAAATATGAAATCACAAGTAAAACAGTAAATGAAAAACTATTGTTCAGAACAAAACTATATACAGGCCAGGGAAAATAACCATGTTTTAACATGTTAACTATAAAAAACTGAAATTTAGATAGATCACCAGTAAGTACTAGAAGAATAGGAATTTTTCAAAAAGCAGAAAGAAAAATAACGTTATGGAAAGAAAAATGACAGAATTAAAAGAAAGCAAAAACAAAGTTATTTATTAAATTAAAATGTGCAGTTCAGAGTTTACTGAAATGTTCAAATAGTGTGCTATAATTAATGTTTTAAAATAAATACAAGTGGCAACAGATGTGTAAAGCAATTAGTTCTGAAACAGAAACAGTCTTCATTAAAATCAGAAAACAAGAACAGTATTTACCATTTGCTTCTTGCATTTTCAGCTGGTGATTTTTTTTAAGCTCTGCAAAAAAAAAAAAAATCCATTAATAAAGGATCTTTATTTTAATATTACAGAAAAAGTTTGAAAGAAGAGATCAAAAAAGCATTTGGTTTTTCTAGCCAATATAAAAAAACTCTTTCTCATTCGTTCCCTCACTACTTTCTCATTATCACCTATACCAATTATATAAATCATGTTCTCTCAGAAATATAGCAAAGCAAGCTGCAAACTCAGTTAACTCTGATATTTACAGTGTAAAATCTGCCCAGATTTCTTCAGAGGAAAAGGATTACTAATTATTGTTTTTACTTCCATAAAGTTACCATAAATATTACCTTGAGGGTAGAGCTCAATTTCTGAATGGATTCTACCTTGAGACATAAATGGAAGCCACCTAAGAATAAGAAAGAAAATAAGAAATCAGGTAGGAATCAATTTTTATTTACATTACCATATAACTGAACAGTCCATATCTGATTTTCATGCTGAATACATCTAACACCAATGGGTCCCCACTCCTAAAATTTTAGTACTTATGTTACAGTAGAAATTATTTGACTCAACAAAGAAATTTCTTTTGTGCAAAAGAAAGAGCTACGTAGGTGTAAAATACACTTGTATCAGATTAAGAGACTCATATGGCACTACTTGCTTGTATAGCTAAACAGAAGAATAGAGCACAGAACATTTTTTTCAGTACTATGGATTGAGAGGTAAGTATAATTTGTATGTATCTATTGCAATATTTCTTAAAACTACAGTTCAGTGTTAAAGCAAAGACGGAACTAAACACTTCTCTTTCTTATTCCTCCTATAAATTGAGGACAGGTAAATGAGTCTCAAAAAAGGACAAATCAATGAAAACATTCTTTATGTTTCCTAGTCATGTTACCCTAGGTTATGTATAATTTTGAAAACATTCCATTGAGAACATGGATTACCAATGGCTTTTATTTCCTCTTGCTTGGTAAAAAAATCAGCTATTTTTTTACCAGAAAAGAAATGCAGCAATCTTCTGGTCTGGGCTGTAGTTTTTTTATTTTCTTAGTCCACTTCCATGGACTCTCCAGAAATTACCTAAATCATTCAGTCTCCTATGAAACCTGTTGGGATTCCAATACAAGCTGGGCAAGGAAAGTCCAGAGCAGCTTACAAAGTTTCCAATTTTTTGTCTTGAAAGCAGTACTTGGCAAATTCATATAAGAACTACACCCTAAGAAATAATTTTTCTCTTACTAAACTACTTATTTCTATCACTCCTGCTAAAAACTGATGGCACGGGTATCTTCTGAAATCCCAGATGCTAAAAGGTATCAGTAACTAGTAAATACTATGTAATTTAAATTGAGTAGAAAGTGTTAGATGTTCAGAAACTAACACCAGGTTTTTAAGACAGATAAAATGCTTGTGTTCCTTTGGTTAAATGAGTCAAAGACAGAACTTTTTTCATGTCCTGGATCAGAGAATAGCTCTGTAAAATAAAATAAATGTGAGGCTGAAGATTACTGAATTAGATTTCTGAAGAGCAAAAACCTTCTTCCTCCTTGAATAGAGCGCAAGTACATTTTGGCCAACATGGAAGCTACACCTGATCCCCACCACTGACTTATTTTAATCCCTTTTCAGTGGAAGGGTTTCCTTGTAGGGAAGTTAGACATTAAGAAACACTTGTTTCTTTTTAACACTCTCTATCACAGAATAATAAACATCTGGTGTTATTTATCACAGAATTAACACAGCAACGTACCCTGCCATTTATCATTGCTAAGCCATATTGCTCACTAGAGATAGCTCTGACACAAAGAAAATTTCACCTATATTTTTTAATAAAGGTAGCATCTATAGCTAGCAGCAACTGCTGGTCTGCATCTAAATCTGCTCAGAGAAATCCTCAGTCTTATATTACTATTAATAAGCATCTTACTGGTTGAAGAAAAATCTCAGATTTAGAGAGTTAATCAAGGTGTGAAAACACCTTTATTCCTGTTTTTGAGGATGTGACACCAAGAATTGCAAGAAGTTGTTCAAGGTTATGTAACGTATTCATTAAAATCCAGACAAAATATCTAGGCAACGTGCATTTTTTAAATGTTATTAATTAAATGTTATTTATTCTGGTGCCTTGTCACATAGTCATATTGTTTCTCATCACTTTCTTTATTTGACTTGAGTCATGCATATTCCCAGGAGAGAGACTGTAAACTGGAAACTCCAAAAGTGGGATTACCATATTTTTCTAAAAATGCAAAATGTAGTATTTATCAATTGACTTTTAAGATGCTCATTTAATAACTTAAATGGAACATCTACAAAATAGTTCCAGGCATCATATTTGTCTCTCTGACCAGGCTGTAAAGAGTGTGAATGCTAGTCTTGGATGGAAAACCTTGTCTCTTTCCCATTTAGAAATACACTTAATTTAGAACATTTCAGGTGCTTTATCTTTCCTTCCTGAAAGGTAAATCACGCTTACAGCACTGATCCTGTAAGATAAGGCTGTACTCTTAATTCTAGCAACACAGACTCAATATAAGTGCTTAACCTTTGCTACAGACCATACAGAACATTAATTCAAGCAATCTGTTCTGGAATAACACATTTTGTGGATTTCATGAAACTGTGAAATAATAAAAAAATGTCTTTGCCTGAAAAACTCACATTTAGTATATCAATTGACACGATACTTGTAGCGATACATATTGAGGAATATTTTAAAATATTGCTATAAAACTACCTTTCACAATTGAAAACATATTCTGAGTTGCTCTCGGCTTCTCTGACGATGACTTTATCACAGTACCAGTGCTGGGACTTGGTGCTGGCCTCACAGCGCAACAGCACCTTCTGCAGCTTCCCAAGGGACACAGCTTCCACTTCAAACACACTGACCTGGGAGACAGAGGAGACAGCAATCTGCAATTTGCCACCAATAAGGCAGCCCAAAAACTGAAGTGTGTTAAAAGCCTGATCAATTCCCACAATGTACAAAGATTTCAACTGGTTTCAATGACAGCTGGACTGTATTCAAAGAGTTTGGATCTGAAGAGTTACATGTCTTTTGATGAAGTGTCACAGTAAGTAGGAAAGCACAGCCAAAACCAGGATGAAGTAATAATCCCTCGAAATATTGGGCTTTTACAGCCATCATCCAAAATGCTGCACACAACCCTTTAGTATTGTTTCAATGCCTTACCATTGACATTTCTCTAGGTAAGAAGCAGTTAAATCTGTTATTTCCTTTGTTGGCATTACTTTAGATCAGACCTTCTCTTAATTTTCTCTTTTTGGTTTCACCTCCTCTACTTGCATTTTATTCTACTGAAAGAAACTGAAATCTGACATGCCATTTTGTTTCCCCATGTTATTCATTTAGGCTTGTGCTTATAGTGGGAAAAGATTGTTTTCATAGAAGCATGAAGCAGATCAGGTCCAGGTTGATAATTTTCTGTCCCAGTGAAAAGCATACAGCTTTCTGTCTCTAAATGTAATAGTCCAGATCATTCTTCTCAGTACAAAGAAAATGAAGGAAAGAAATACACTGGAAAATTCATATCTGTAAAGTTCTCAGTCCTCAGCAAATGGCAGAACTGAGACTGCCTGTGCAAGATTACTTATCCCTTGTGTATAGATAATATATGATCACAAGCTAGTCTCCCTGAAAGATTCCTGCCTCAAAGTGTGCTCAGGAGGACGACAGATTTTTCAGTATCTCCTTTTGTCTTCATTATCTTTATGTCTCTATGCATTATTTACTGCAACCACCCAAAGAGCTCAGTGAAATAGAACTGATTTCCCCAGTGACTTCACCTTTGCACTTCTCCCATAGCATCCTGGCTTCCTGCAACTGCTTAATCTCTTTTTTAAAAGGCCATCTGCATAATATTTCAATTTACCTACATAGTTAAAGTGCAGAGTCTGCTGCTAAAAGCTGTGAAAGATGCAGAGCGGTGTGGGTGCTCAGCTGAGAAACAGAGGGGTTAATTTACTGAAATATTTAATATTTCAAAGAGATTACTGGGTGTGCAGAGCAGAATTCTATTTGAACTCAGTTACAGCTGTGGTTGTTCAGAGAAGTTAAACTGGTTATGCAGCAATACATAGGTATGAAAAATGTGGTCACTCAGGAAGGTTTTATTTTAAGCAATTTGCCCAATGCAGAATATCTGTGGCAGGGATGGAATCAAGTTGTTCAAGTCAGCATTCCACTATCTCTGCCAAAAATTATATATCCCAGTCTCTGCTTTGCTGCTCCAAACAATCCACTGTCTTATTCACCCATTTCCATAACAAAGTGCCCTTTGAATCAGTCCCCTTAGCCCTTGTGTAAATAATATGCTGAATTGACAATCAAGCTGGCTAGAATAATGCCCCCCAGAAAATTCCACCTAAATTCTGCATTTTAATTTGAATAGAACTTTATCTCTCATACATTAGTAACAGCATAAAATATCTATTTTAAAATAGTATAGATACATTTAAAGTTTTCCCAGTGGGTTATGACTGTTTTTAGCACTTTAGGTACTGCTTTTCATTTGGTAATTAAGTGTTCCACTAACAGATTGATACCAATGGTTGTACATACAAGTGTTAACCCTCAATAGACCACAAAGGAAGAAACAGGCTCAATAGAAAGTCACAAGGCTAGTGGCAGAGTTAACATTAAATTCAGTAGTTCCTGGAATTTAACTATACTGCAGAAAATCAGGATGAGGTATATTTTACTTTTGGAAGAGCTAGGAGGTAATAAATTTAAAGAAAAATTACTTTAAGTCTGTCCTGTATTAATCACAATACTTTACTGTTACACATCAAAAGGAATACATAACAAACAGACCTACTAAGATCTAAAATCGTGGAACAATTTCTGTGCACTCTTTTGGAGCCAGCTATAGCTCATCATACTTTAAAAGGATATGTTTTAAATTCATAGGCAGCTCTTCTCACCATCTGAGGGTGAGGCCCTCAAACAATTTTTATTTCCCTTTCCCTGCATATGTTTTCACTCATGCTATTAAATCCTGGGTCAGTAGAAAAATATTTTCCTTAGTTCTTAAAAGATATTTAGCTAAACTTATGTCGTTTGCTTTATTACTATTTTTAGGAACCTGTATACCTGTATACAATTATTTAACTATATTCACAAGGCTAGGCAAATTGTTTTTCAGACTTACCATTCCTCTCTGAAATGGCACTGGTGTACCAGTCTTATGCAGAAGTCTTAGACCAGAATCTCCTCTTTTTCCATAGATGCACAAATAAACTGCACAGTCTGTGTCAGCTTGCTCCAAGTCACCAGTGTGGACATAAACACAGTATAAAACAACTTCCAGAAATAACCAAAAGAAGAAAATGCAAGTTATATGGAATCACAACTAATTTTAATCGCTGTTGTAGCTGAATGCTAACAATGACAGTATGTCTGATCTGCAATTAGTTTTCTGGAAGATACTCTCCACTAATCAGTCAAATTATTTGCTTTTAAGATTGCTAGGACTACAATTTGGTTGGCATTAACACTGAAAAACAGGTAGCCAATATATAAATAACTGTACACACATACTTGGATAGATAGGTTTTCCAGCTTCCACTACTGGAAGTTCACACAGAAATTCTCTGTCATCACGATTCTTTGATAACCATATGTTTGCTGGAAAATTCAGTGTTTTCTTGCTCCTTAGATGTTGCAGTATCACCTGAAGGAGAAGCAATTCCAAATATAACTCACTTCCAGTGCTTTGTTTCTCAACAGCAAAACATAATTTTGTATATATATTTTTTTTCTATCTCAGAAAAAAGTAACACAATCAGTAAGTATGGTATACAAAATTGAAGTACGAAAATATCTTTGTTTTGGCCACTAGCATGCAACAAAAAAACCTGTAGCTGTAATTTGAGGGTTTGCCATTTGTAATGTCCCCAGGTCTGGTTTCAGCGAGTAAACCACCTCTATGTGACACTGCCTGGAGGACTGAGACTGAAAACTTTCTGGTAGCTGCTGTTACATGACACTGAGCTTTTGGAAGATTTGGAAATATGGACACAGATTTTTTTATTTTAGAATGAAAACAGGATGAAACTCATCATCTACATCTTTCTGAACTTTGACAAGTAGAGGACACATTGGAATATTAAATCGATTTGTATTATCTTTGGCTTTTCTACAGCAAAACAAAAAACAACCTGGGTACCATCACCATCTATAAATTCTTAAGATGGTTAGAATTCCAATTTCTAGAGTTATTTGCTGCTGTACAGTAAGATAGCTGCCTCACTTGTTTCCTATAAGTACAGCACTCTTTATTATCTTTTATGAAAGCAGTTTTTGTTGGCCTTGAATTACCGTACTTACTACAGGGGTTTTCCAGAGGTCTTGACTAGCAAAAGGAAATAAAAAATTATATTTCTGCAGTTGTGTTTCTGAGTGTGCATATAATATGCATAAGCTTTGCAAACAAAATTATGAAAACAAGTACTCACATCCAAATTCTAACACTTAAGGAATCAGGGCAATAGATGTCTTTATCTCACTTTTCTAATAAAATATTATTTAAAGTAAAATGAATACTGCTTTCAACACCAAAGCATGTATTTATTCTAATGTGAAATACTTTGGCAGTACTGATTGCTAATCTCTAATATTTATTGGCAGTGCCCCCCCTGCTGATTCATAACAATTGCACATATTAACTGCTTTTTCAGAAAAACACAGCTTTCAACATGATTTATTTCTTGATCTGAAATGAAGTTTTTTAAATCCTTTGGTTACCCTATGAAATTTGGAGCAAAATATTAAAGAAACATTTAGTAACCACCAAGCTGGAAAGTGGAATACTTATGCTCACTTTCAGTTTTATTACAGTCTCAGTTAAGACCTTCAGGTTAATGTAAAAATCTGCTATTATTGCCTAATTCTTATTGTCTATTATATTCTTAATAATTGTCTAAATCAAGCTTTTTAAGATTATTCAAATGAAAAAGAGTAAACTTGTTTCCTTTACAAATTCAACGCAAGAAATAGAGAAAAAATTATTATCCCAGTTCTAAAATACATTTTATATGGGTGTCAGCCTTAGGAAGCATTTGGAACAAATTTTGGTTTTGGTGAACATCCCTAAATTTCTAGAGAAAATTAGAATTAAAACAAAACAAAGAAGAATTTATTCATCAAATTGAAAACAAAACAAAACAAAAACAAAACAAAACAAAACAAAAAAAAAAAAAAAAAAAAAGCCAGCAGCTTTTTTCCCTTGAAAATATTCGTAATTATGAGAAATGGTGGGTCCTGTTATAACTTACTTTGTTTACCTTTCAGCAAACTTTGTTCATTCCTGGCAAGTTATTGTCATGGAATGATTGATGCTCCATCATTTTCAATTTTTCAGAGCTGGAATTTAAAGCTAGGATCTCCCTAACACACTGAAGAGTACAGAAACACTAAAGAGTATGGTAAATTTTCAGAAAGCAAAATTTGGTCAAACACATCAATACAATAAAATTGCTGTCTGAAGGAATTAGGAATAATTGCAAAATAATTCTGCATATTTCTATCCCTTAGGAGATGAACTGTATCAGTGTTTTTGTCATCTCTACAGCAATCTAAGAACAAAATTCAGCAACAGCTTATCCCAATCAGCATTTATAGATTCATAAACATATGTCTTTACAAAAAGATGGGCCTTTATTTCACATAAATTTAATAAAACAGGAACAAAATCACCGCAAAAGTCTCACCCTCTGTAAGTCCCACTCGGGTTGTTCATTTGGTAATCCATCAAGTTCAAGTCTTATCTTGTAGATATTCCCAATGTTGTCTATTTTAACCTGAATAAAGTCAGAACATTACAGTATAAAACTACTTAGAACTACATCTTTATCTTTGCAATTGATTCTAGATTTATCGGAACCATTGTAGTATCTGAGTGTTCAGAAACAATGCATAATATTTGATAGGCAGATTTGAGGTTATAGGATTCAAAAAACACATTTCTTCTGTTTTGACTAAGTGGATTACTGTCTGAGCCCTAGTTTGACCAGATTACAGCCTAGTGGAATCACAATACTTGCCAGGAGAATGATTTAACAGGTATTTGAACTCTTCAAAGTTTCAAGAGTCAAAATGTTGGTGAGGGTTGTTCATGAGAGAAATGAGCAATACAAAATTACATCATATAAACAAAATTACATCCTCTGACTACAAGTCACAAATCTTTCATAATTCTGCACCAATGACTGTAAACCCTAATATGTCAACATGAAGGATATAAAATTTTTGAGACCTCAAAGAATAGCTCTCAAGAGCTGGCAGAACATCTGCAAAACTTCAGAAGTCACTGATGCTATATTTGCTTTCTGACTATGATTTGCATTCATTTGCCCTTTCAAGCATTATGTGTGCTCTTACTTATAAAAACTATTCTATGCAACCCTGTCTTCAAAACTTTAAATTAACCCTCACTTATCTAGGGTTCATTTGAAGTTTAATCACTATTTAAAGCAAGCATAAATAATTTTAGATAATTTGTAATGTACCTTTAGGAAAGGAAGAGTGTGTTATTATGTTATTTCTCAAATAATAATGTTATTCATAAAAGATTGGTAACAGCCTATTCCTTTCCACAATTTACATCCAAAAAGCTATTTACATTGGACAAAAATTATCTTCATTCTCTTAGAAACACTACTATATTATCCACTCTTTCTTTACTTTCATTAACAAAAAGCACTCATCTCGTTTCAGAGTTCAGAATTACCTCATTTCTTGTATCAGCTTTTAGCTCTTTGTGCTTTTATGTAAGAAAATTTCATGTTATAGTCACAGCATTGTCATGCTTTAGTCAAAGATTTCTAAAAGTAAAAAACTTCTACTCTGGATTTCCTGAACATTGAAATGCACATTGAAATTTCCTAATGGTTGTTTGAGACAGAATCTGTGGGTTTCACACGTGTTATTTTTGTTGGTATACTTGTTACATCCACCTGAATTCCATTAACCAAATAAATGTGATCACCAGGCTTGCAACACTGATGTGACAATGTAGTTTCCTTCTTTTCCATTGCCTTAAGAAAGTAGCTTTGTTTTGCTCTGCCAAGTCATATCCTTGCTTATTCTGCATAATATTCCCTCTAAAAGTAAAAAGTAGTCTTATTGGAGCTAACCTGGAAACTTTGGGATTAAAGCAGCAGTAAAGTATGGGCATATATTCAGCTTGAATGCAAAAAAAAAAAAAATTATTGTCTTTCCCCCCATTTCACACATTTCACACAAACAAACTAACCTACTTCTCAAGCAATATGGGGTCTGGTCTTCTCATTCACAGAGCTGGTGCTCACTGCATATATAAGGCTATCATGTCATCTGTTTATTCTAATAAATCCCTCTTAGACTTTTAGTTAATAAAGATAAAATGTTGCACATAATTTCATGTATCAACACAACACAAAACAAAATGTGCTAGACTAAGAATGCAAAAGTGTTTTCTTCCTAAAAAAGTATAGGTCTTCCAGAAGTAACACTCTGGTAGTCTTGATTTTTCTCATGCACTGTCTTAGGAATGATTAAGCAGGCAATGAAAACTCACATGGGTAAGGTAAAATAGGAAAGAGTAGACCGCATATTGAATGGTTTTAATTCTAAAGTTAGTTATACTCAAACTTTTCATAGTTGCACCTGTTGCTGATAAATGTAAGGTGAAAGAACTTTAAACTGACTCCTAATTGGTGGATTATTTTAGCCTTTCAGAAACTGCTTTCTTCCTAGAACTCCTGGCCAGAGCTATGATTAAGTTGATTACTTTAAAAATAAAATTTGGTATCATCTGTTCCAGAATATATCAGTGAAAACATAAATGTTCAGAGACAGAAGTGGTAAGAAGAAGATGTAACTTTTTTATGTCTTACATTCCTATCCTCATTTCAAGATATGTTCAGTTAAACAAGCACTGCATAAAGTTTAAGGAGAAAAAGAGAAGAAAGAGATCTTGCTCATAGGCTTTTTCTTTGTGGATTTATCCACTGCAGACTAAAGAGTGAAAAGCACTTCAGTGGCATTTGCTATTTCATGCCTGAAAGCTATAGTGTCAATGTGATGTAAAAAACCCCTAGGAGTAGCCCCAGGTGCTGAGAGAAAGATCCTGCTCTCTCACAAGATCAATATCTGCAGCACACAGCCATAATGGGCCACATCCATTTTAGAGAAGAAAAATTGGTCCATCTCTTTTGAACATATGGATTAACTTTGCAAACATGCCATTATCCAACATTGCTTATAAATGATTTATTAATTAAGAGAACAGGATTCCCTGTGGATCATAATCTATCACCTATATGCTTAGAAAATAAACATTATGGTAGGTTGTCTCCTTGCCTATGCCCTATTCATAGAGAGAATTATGATTATTAATGTCATTGACAGTATCAATCTTGGAATGTACTAAGATTGTATCAGAAGAGTTGATGAGTCCAGAAAAAAATCATTAAATATATAACTTCTGCTTTAGCTACTGAAGACAATGTTACATGAATCTCAGACAGAGATTTAAGCAAAACAGAAAGCTCCTTTGGTAATTTCCTCTCAGCCTACCTAGACATAATTTCCTGATTAAAATAGAGGTGGGGTTATTCTTAAATAAAAGCAGAAACCCTGTGTTTTCACAAAGTGGTAACACATAGATTTCATTGGACTTTTAGTTATTCCACAAGTAAACATTTCTGGAATTTCAATCACTTGTAATATGACAACTCTAAAATGGCTTTTCTTCTTTAATTGAATGAGTTGCACAGCATACATTTTATAGTATGCTTTGAAAACTGTATGCCTGAAAATTTAATTACTAAAGATCCCTAAACAATATGCAAGTCTTATATCAGGCATGGTTTGTTTCAAAATGAATAGTTTTTAAAGCTGGTTTCAAATCAATTGCCTTAAAGAAATCAATTTACTTTTATGCAGTAAATATAGGAGCAAAACATTTTTTGTTTTCACACGACAGGATAATCCTTGGAAAGGTACCTATTAAAATAATGTTCTTAGCCTTCATTAGCTACCTGAAATTCATCTTCCTGCCTGGGAAAAAACAGCTGCTTCCTCTTGTCCTTGCCAAGAGTTATTGGTCCGGTTAATCCTCTGTCTCCATATATCCAAAGAGCAACACTTGCTTCAGTTCCTGCATTTCCTGTCAGTATTGACACTTTCCATTCATCATCCAAAGGAAGGGGACTCTCACCACCTTGGGGATTTCTCATTTCCTCTGTGAAATACAGAACGTTAGTGGGAGATGAAAATTGACATGAAGCTGCCAGTTGCTGTTGTAACTTCAGCACATAAGGAGGCCATAACAGCAGGGGGATTGTATTTTTTCATGGCAAGTGAGATAGTCTGAAAAGATTGATTTATGTTTCTTGTCTAGACCAAAATGTACTGATTAGTTGAGCTACAAGAATCAGCTGGAAAAAGAACAAGTTATCTCTCACACACACCATCATCATATTCTTCATACATATTCTGGAGCAGAGCAAGGATGCTGTGGTGCAGAACTCTGACCATTAAATTGATATTTCTGGTTTCTTAGTCTGACATTTAGAAACAAGTAGAATTTCTCCTCTAATGCCTTGTGTTGGGACATCATTAGCAGAGTCACATGTCTAAGAACACAGACAATTTTCATTTCAAATTTAAAAATAAATCAGAAAATTAACGTTCTTCAAGTTAAATATCAACTAAATACTGTAAAAAAAAAATACCTCAATATAGACTTGCTTAACCATACTTATGCAGTGCCATCATTTGGATTAAGACCTACTCTGCATGAATGAGACAATAGCAGCACAGTAACACTTTATGAATAAATTTCACAGCTCTAATGGCTAAGAAAATATAATTTTGTAAAATATAAGTTTCACTTTAGAACAACTTGGTGATCTTCCATCTGCCCTTAAGAGAAACACACATACATGCAGAGACATCAAATGACACCTCTGCACAGGAGATATGGAAAAACCAGACTCTATTAGGGAAAAGGAATTTAGTTTTGAGTAATTTAACCAAAGTGGAATTTACAAACTTCAAATGTCTGGAACACTGCTTTTCAATAACGGGACCATTGATCAGGGAGCCCTCTCCAAAAGGGGGAATCCTTGCTGCCAGGAATTTATAGTCTGTTCTGATACAAGAAGCAGTTGTAAGTCCCAAATTTGAAAATATGAACATACATATTGCCAATATATTCTGTCTTTTAGGGGTTTCCACATTACTCACATGAGCACTTTCCATGTGACTGCAAAAAGAATTTTTAATATGTGACCAATATGAATCTGTTGAAGAATTCCCAATGCATCACTGTGGATGTTTCTGCTGTACTGTGTAAGTTATGTAGTGGTATTAGAGTTCTTTCCTTTTTTTGTTTGCTTGATTAAAATACTGTACTGGTTTTCTCTGGATGGAGTTTTTCCCTTCACTTGTTACACCACCCTTACATCAAAGGAAAAAACCAAACACCCAACCAAACAAAATCAAACCAAAACCAGACAGAAAAACAATTGATGCAAAAGCTATCACTCACTGCCAGCAGCCCTTTTTTCTTAAAAGTTGTACTCAAAAGGAATTATACAGTTGGTTGGATCATCAGGTTGTCCTATATTTAAATCAACATGGTAACTAAAGCACCAAAACTGAATTATGATCCACTAGCATTAATATCTTAACTGATGTGAAATATTTACACAAGGAATTGCAAAGGACTTAGGATCCATACAAAGTTCTACAATAAATAATGACTGACTTCTGGAATCACAGGAAATTGAGCACTGGCAAAGATTACAATATTTCGTTAATCAATTTTTAAGAAATTCAGAACTGTAGTATCATGATTTTACAGCAGTGCCTCTAACAGTAGAATTATGACTTTGGAATGGTCATAGAGATTTAGAATAGGCATTACTGGCTGGTTTTATTGTATTCTTCATCATGACTGAGAGCAAGTTATTCTGACATGGAAAAGAAAATCAACACACTAAAAACAAAGCAAGAGGCAAACATCTAGAGTTTACCTGAATAATAACTTAATTACACTTGTCTTTCAGTGCCTGAAATAACAGAACTATAGCAAATTGCTTTGGTATGATAAATATTTCTGAGAACTTGACTATAAGATTTTCTGCTACTGTAGTTTGCCTAACTTCTTACATATAACTCTGAAAGCTAGAGTTCTTTCCAGCTATCCAAAACCACAACTTTCTTACAACAAAGAGATTAAAATGTTCATAAAATGCAAAGGTATTCAAGAAACATAAGGAATCCCATGCTGCTTCATGTGCTTAGGACAAGAACTCCAGACTTGGGCAGTTGCTCCCAAAAACAGTTACTGCAACTTCAAACTACCACCTCTTGGAACAATTATAATGCACAAACAATTCACAGACTTGGAATGCTTTCTGCCTCATAAATTACTGGCTCTTCTTACAAATGGAAATCGGTAGCATTGATTTGCTACAGGCTAAAAATATTGCAGTCTGAAAAGAGGATTTGATGGTTGCCCTGCATTACTCATGGGATTTTACACACTTCATGACAGCATGCTGTAAATCTATTGTGACAAAAATTAATTTTAATAGGCCTGCATGAGAATGTTGAAGTCACAGCCCTCTCCACAACTTCACAGAAATAACTTCTTTTAAATTTACTTACTTATCCTAAATGTAACACAAAAGGAAAATTACCTTGTCTGAGAAAACCGTATGATTGAGTGACACTTTTAAAATGAACCAACAGAAAAACTAATCTCTGGACCAGAAGTTTAGGCAATCAAGTGGATGTATTTTTTTTACACCTTTGTGTATCATCATTTCCAATGTTAACTGAGGTGGAAATGAGATCAGATTTTATTTGTACCTTTTAAGTAAAATATATTTAAAAATTAATAGCAACTAATAATACCAGACATACAGGAAAAGAATGTGGAGGATATAGAGAGCATTTCTCAGAGATACACTTTGTTAATACCAAACCACAGAGGTGTTCTCAGGGTCACAGACTGCATTTGTGTCATGGATGCTAATGACATCTGAGCTATTAAGTTGAAGCTGGGACCTGACATCATCTCTGTACAGTGAAATAAGTTTCTTGAGGAACATTGAACTCACACTGCAATGGGAGAAGTCTCAAATGCTGTAGCGTGGTTTTCAGTTTAATGAGTCCTAAATCAATTATTATTTGTGAAAACAGAAATCAAAATTCATCTACCAGTTAGCAGACACAGACATAGAAAGGAGGGTCTGGTCAGTCTAAGAGTTAATCTGTTCTGAGTTTGCCTGCTAAGCCCCCTGCTGAATTGTGAACTCAGTACAAGCATCACCCTTTTCCAAATATTAACTCTCAGTGAAAAATAGAAAACAACAATTTAATGAATAAGAGTTTAAAACTCAAGGCTCACCTGTATATGTCAAAAGACATATGTTGAGTAAAAAGTATCTCAGTAAAAAAAATGACAATTTTATTTGAAAGACAAAGTAACTTTGATATTTTTATTCATTTTCCATAAGCAGAATCTATATTTATGAATGCCAGAAGAACTACTTACAAAGTGCTAGAGACTCTGTGTAACCAATTTCACGGCAGATATTGCTTCTATAAAAGGATCCTTTGTACCCAACCCTAAAAACATCCAGCTTCTTTGAAAACAGGCTTGATGGCTTGTGTATTGTTGTCATGGGTTTCAGACACAGCATATCTGCTGACAACCCACCACACTTCAGAAAGGCTTTGTGACACAATGATACAAGATGAAGTCTGACAGATTAGAAATTGGGTGTTTTGAGCTAAAAACGGAAAAAAATATTTCCAAAAAGAATTATGTATTTATAGTGATTCACACCTGTGCTTGGAATTTAACCATAACACTTTGTTGAACTAAATTTAATTAAAATCCTGACTGATACTGCCCATTATACCTTATGAACAACAATGCCAGATGTGATGTCTTGTTCAGATACCCAAACTTTTCATGTACACCTTGAAAAAAATCTGAGGATCAAGTTTGAAATGAAATCAGCAGCCCACCTGAATTATTTGCTACATAAATGCCTTTGAGAACACCTGTAACTGAGTAAGCATGTCTCCCATGCTGGAAGTTGCAGTATAATCTTGTCTTTAAAGCTCTTTCATAGTAACAGATATTTCTCCACCATGTGAATGTACCTCCATGTGCTGTTTGCAGCTCAACAGTTTCCATTTACCCCACCTATTGATATCACCCACCTAGGTGACATTCATATCACCTTTTTGTGGTGATATGACATGATTCAGACTGTCAGGGTCTTTGGGTACATTGAAATAAGAGATGCAGGAAGCAAACACGATCATCCCCACTCTTTAAGAGATGTATCACTCCCTGTTTTGTTTAGTCATTTAGTTCCTTAATTTGGCTACTAGGATGCTGAATATTCCAAAAATTTTTGTCTTAGACCATTTATGCAATGTCTTTAGCTAAAGAGAAAGCATTTTATTCTAGATAAACATGTCTGCTAGACCATGACTCCAGAAGCATGACCAAAACATTATTTATCTAACTTCTACCTGCCAAATCATAGGTATAAATCTAGCATGCAATGCATCAAAACCTTCCTCTTTCGTCCAGTGAACCATAAAGCAGAAAACATGAGTGTGAGAGCATAAATGAGAAATATTCCATTATTTCAGTGAGCTTTAGATACGGTTCTGCACCATATCAACCTCTTAATTTCCCCAGAAATATTCAATCAATAGGTTACTAATTAATTTTTTTAATGAAGTTATTTAACAAGTTATTCAACCTGCTGATTGTTGCCTTATCAATAAACCACATTCCAACCCTCCTTTTTAGAAAAAGAGTAACTGGAAATGTATTTTATGTAGTGTGCTTGGGTGCATAATTCAATAATCTGGAAAAACCATTCATTGTCCTTCCTGAGCTAAGTCTCTGCAAACACACACAGTGGACAAGCATAAAACATGTACCACAGCTGGTTTCTAAACTACTATTTACTTGAGGGTGGGGGAGTTGAAGGCCGTTGAGGTTCTGGCTCCTGGGCTTTTGCTGGTTGGATTTGAGATCCTCTGAAGTCTTTCCTCTCTTGTTTGGGTGCTGCAGATGTTCCCATAGGCTTTTCCCGGCCAACTGAAACAATGAAATGTGAAATCTGTCACTAGCTAGAAGCCATTAGCTTTTTCTTTCTCAGAAGCTAACAACAGATCTCACAGTTGTTCCACACAATAGACATCAAAATCCTTTTTCTATTGTTAGCAGAATGCTATAAAAACTGGGAACAGAACTGACATACCAATTAAAGCCGATTCAATGTTTTAAAAATCTAAGCGAAAATTTAACATTGATGTAGGAAAAAAATGACTTGTTAGCATGTGGCTTTCCTCAAAATAAGCTTCTCCCCCCAAAATGTTTTTTTCTTAAGAGTGGAAGTGCTGAAATGAAAATTGCTAGAGGCCTTTTGAATAATAAAAAGTAAATTGATATTGCGAATATGAACATGTCAGACCGACAATATTTATTGCTTGTGTAGAAAATATTAGTTCCTTTGTATATTCCTTTTAGTGAGCAACACAGATTCAGGAGGGCTGAAGCCTGTGACAAAGTAATATTTAGCTTTATTTAATGACACCAGTAAGCACTGCCTTGTCCAGAATTTCTATTGAAAACACTGCTCTTCCAAAAGGCAATAAAGGAAAATACTTTCCTCATTTCTACAAGGACACAGTAATTAAAATACTCCTATAACCCTGCAGCAAACAGGGACAGAAAAATAGGGATGTGCTTACAGTCACTTTCATAATGCTTCGATCACAGTACATGGAACAATTAGTAAGAGTGGTTGTAGATTTTGAGACTCTCTTTTTGCTAAGTTTGTTCAGCTTGTGTTTGGAAAAAATCTGAGCAACTTCTCAATTGCAAACTGATGTCCATTTAGCCTTTTCACGAGTTGTTTCGTTTCCTGAGGTTTATTGTCAAGCTCACCAGATAAGAATACATTTCCTGCAGTTATAAACTAAGTCAGTTGGCTACCTTTGGTAGCCAGTTTTTCACTAAATTAAAAGCTTTGTTCTCCTGAAGGGGAAAAGACAAGCAGGCCACCCAATGACAGTGATCCAGAGTGTGCTGAGACCCAACTTCTGAGTCCTGGCTAGTTGACTAGGTCAGCTCTCTGCTGAGGAAACATTTTGACCACAATAGCTCACAAATCTGACTATGGGACGGAGGAATAACATAATGAATATTCTGGGTGTACAATGTATTTCACATCACTAAAAAAGAAACTGAACACTGCTAAATAGGCAGCCTTGAAAGTCTACTAATACCCCTATAAAATCATGAAAAACTGTAGTAGAGTTGACAGCAAGACAACACTTCCCAGGCTTCCAAAATCCATGGCCAGAATGGGGAATACACCCAGGAAGGTCATCTTTATCTTGTCCCGTTTCAATTCTCATTTTCAAAAGCTTAGTAGTAAAACAATTGACATCTAGTGTATCATTATTATTATTATTAAAAGAAAGGAATGAACTTAATTGAATAGGTAGGATAAATTAAGTGTGCATACAATGAAATTTTCACTTTTAAAACTACTGAAACACAAGGGAAATTGTGTCAATATATCTTTTACACTTCTGCTTTGAATTTTGTCCATTAGAAACACAAATTACTAAATAAAACCATACCAGATTGAGAAATCACATACATTTGATGACCTGTGGGTAGAAAAAGATATTTTTCTCTCCAGTGTTAACAACGGGCCTTGTTTGGCCATCTGGCAGAAGACCAATGTATATCCCTTTATTTCGTACAGATTCCAGGCTCACAGAACCTGTTTCCAAATTCTTCTCAATTTTAAAATGACAGTATTCATCACCTGTACCCTAAGAAATTGATAACAGAAACATGAATTCAACAATTAAGGTAGCTAGAAGACTTTTTAGAACTCTTACTTATCACTACTTTCCAGTAATATTCCAGATTAACTTTACATTCTTCAACATGATACATTACTACACACGCAGAGACATGCCTGCACCTTATCCCTGTTTATTCCTTTATGACCAAAAAGACTAATCAAATAAGTTAGGTAAGTGAAAGACCAAGTGAAAGCATCCTGATTTATGTTAGTATTTAGGCAAAGGCTAGGATATATTCAAAGGAGTTTCCCACTTAAACACTTTCCAGAGGATTAAGGAATGTGAAAATATCTATATCAGAACACATAGGATATTTCTACACAAATTTTATGCATAGCCCAGATTTGCTAATGCTACATAATATAGCATGTATTAAATAGATGTAACTAGTTTTTTCCCCAATTTCATAGCATTTACAAGTTTAATTTCAAAACCTTTGGACACTTTTTATCCAGACATCCTGATCCATAGGTGAGAGGACTAGTGAAAAATAAGATACTCACAAAGCCTGTATTCAAAATATGGATCAAATATTTTAATCTCTGAAAGTGTACTGGAGGCAATGAAAAAACTCTAATGGACCTTATACTTGAGAACTTACACAGCTCTGTTTCATATTCAGTTATCTTAAACTCCGAAATAAAAATTATGCAAAAATATTTCTTTCATTTATTAACTTAAATGAACAGAATCACACTTTAAAAGTTAGTGAAGTATACAGTCACTTACATCTTAATTATTCTTTAATGGATTTTATCTGTATCATCTGCCTACCAGTACATAAGTTTTAACTATATCCACATTTTCAATAGTTTAATAATACAAGCAGATCTTTACAGATTCCATCAACTGCCAAATTGACACAACACCTTCTCTTGCTATATTTTTCTGCTTTTGCTTTGGCAAATGAAGGAAAATATTTGAAACATTTTTAGTCTGAACAAATTTTTATGTCAAGCAAATAAAAAAAGATTCTCTCCTACCACTGACAATTCACTCAAACTATCTGCAGAAGGAAATACAAACAATAGCTGCTTACTGTTCCATCACACTGGTCATCTTTGATCTTCAGATACATTCTTGGTTTTTTCACACTTTCAAACATGCAGAGTCCAGAGCTGATTTTATGCACCCTCCAGTAGGATTCCTGCTGCTGCTGACCTGCTCCACTGCAGCTCCCATCAGGTCTAAGGGACAGAGCCTGGCAGAAACTTGTGTTGAGCAGAATGATGGCACCATGATGAAACACACCCTTTAGATCAGAAACAAAAAGTCCTCTGTGAACAGCACAGCTTTTCTCCATATTAAATTTTGATATTGATATTGCTCCTACCATTTATTTTAAGCACTTAATCATGCATGTCCTTGCATAAAAGATAAAAGAGTCAGTCTCAAGTAATTCAAGTATACCTCCAGTCTTTGAATATTTGCTGTTTTCTGTGCAGGCACTAACCAGAGCAGTGGAAATCCTTCCCTACTCTGCAGCATCCCTGCTTTTTCTTGCTCAGCAGCACAGCACAACATCCAGAGAACAACGAGAGTGGCAAATTAAGGAACTTGTCTCTTTTCAACACCTACTTTTTGAAGGTCTGCTAGGAAGTTTAGGGAATCATCTTTCCTGTGTTACTGCCCACTCTATTTGCGTGTTCCAGCTGCGGTATCGGCGCCGCTCCTCCCGGAGCAGTAAAGGGAACCTTCCCATGTGCCGCCTACCTGTTAAACTGTAGTTGAGCTCCACCTCGTGGAAGAGAATCCCTCTTTTACCTCGCAAACATCTGAAACTCCGTTAGAAACAATCTGCTTTATAACAACAAATTGTAGAAGGGTCTTCCTAATTTTTTTCTGCCCGCCTTACCTTGACATGTACGATAAATTCTTTGGAAAGCCCAGAATATCCTGTTGCTTCATCAGCTACTTTGCCTTGGAGATTGAAAGCCACAGTGTGACCTGGGTAGCTGGCTGACTCAAGAATGGCACAAGAGTTTGGTTGAATGTGGACACGGAGCTCACAGCAGGCCTTGTCTTTGCTCTAACATAGTCAAAGAAGGAATAATAAATTATATTAAATATATGGCAAAATCCAAACAACAGAGAGAGTATTAAAACAGAGTTTCTGTGTTGTTCAAGTTCCCACAATACTAGCAGTCTAGTACAAAAATCTTTCTATTTTTCAGATTTGCAATTGTGAAATTGTGGGCTCTGTGGAATTTGACAGAAACAGTTCATTGTAAGATGACACAGATCTGGCAATAATATGAAAGATACCTGGGTGCCTCACTTGGAGAGTGTGCCACAGTCTATAAAGATGGCAAAGAAGTATAAAGTTGACATAGACAGGAAATGGGCCGTGGTAACTCTTGACCACCAGCCCGCCTTCTCTTTCTTTTGCGTTTGTCCTCATTCATTTATACTGTTCTCACAGAAAACACTCAGAGAATCGGAAGTTTTACATGAAAGAGTAAAGCAACATGCTTTACTCCATGATTGTCTGTTCAGCTTGGCAGGCTTTATAATCCCATTGTATGAAATAATTTAATATGTTATCAAATCATTTATCAATACATTATAATACATATTTAAATATTATCAGCTCAACATCATTCTCATATTTAAATAAAACTAGAATTTTAATCAACATAAAATGCTAACAATCCCTCTAATAATTGATAATAGTTCTGATTTACATCACCTAAGGATTTTCAAGACTACAAAGAATCAATATTTCTAGGAAAAATTTTCTTTTTCAAGGTACTACCTTCTGAAGAAAAAGCTAAAAGAACTGTCTATCAGATTCAATATACCTATAAAAGCAAAGGAAAAATTGTATGGATTTTTGAAGTAGTTGTGAAACAATTGAGGACTAAGCATGTCCTCAAAGTACATTTAAGTATGTGTTATAAGGCAAATTGCAATGTTTTGCCTTTTTGTTCCTCCAGTGCCTGAGAGACAGGTATCATGTCTTACAGGTGTCATAAAACATCAAAGACTCCCAAAGCACTCTCAGACTCATTTCTGAGGCTTTTCACCAGAGGACTGAAAGCTCTCCTGCATGGGAGGAGGTACCTGGGCATTCCCACCTACACTCCTCATTTAAACCCTGTCCATATATTTACACACACTGATCATCCAGTGCCATTTCACTCTAATCAGCCCTAAGGAGTCCCTTTACAAGAGCATGGATTACTTCTATTTCCTGGGATAGGTCGTGACTGTTGGATATTAGGAAAAGATTCTTCACAAAGAGAGTGCTTGGGCACTGGAACAGGATCTCCAGGTGAGTGGTCACAGCACCAAACCTGACAGAGCTCAAGTGTTTGGACAGTGCTCTCGGGCACATGGTGTGACTCTTGGTGCTGTCCTATGAATGGCCAGAAGCCAGATTTCCATGATCCTTGCGGATCCCTTCCCACTCAGGATATTCTCTGATTCCATGATCAGAAGGAGCTGAATTCTACCACTCCATTTACCTACTTGTATACTGCAAGTGATGAGGAAGAAAGGTCACAGATGTGGGCTGGAACAAATCAAAATGCATCAAAACAAACCCTGGATTATACCAGCTGTTTTATGACTGACATGTTACTTGAAAAAAAAGAAAAAAAAAGAAAAAGAAAAAGAAAAAAGAAAAAGGGACATTCATTTAAAATCAAGCCAGAGAATCTTTCCTTATAGTAAAAGAGAAGATATTAGGGCATTCCAGGTAGTTTGTCAGAATGTGGCAAACAAATATAAATGACATCTTAGAATGGCCTGGTATTTCTGAATTAAAGAAAATAAATGAATCAAAGAATAAAAAGTAAACTGTGAGAAAACAAAGCCCTATCTCTAAATTCACCTATTTATGAACAATTTCCTGAGTTCAGTTCTACAATTCTTCACTCCTTATCTGATTGGAAGTACAATTATTTATTAAACAGACTTTAAAAACTTTTTTTTTAATCAGACAATGACATGTCTTTATGAAGCAGGAATCAGTAACAGCATTTCCTACCTTTCCAGTTACACAGCCACTGACAAGAGCAAGAGCAAGAGATGGCATTTGATGACTGCTGAATATACATATGTTTCTCCTTTTAACATTTACATCAAAAAGACCTAAGAGTTAAATGAAAAAGAAAAAGCTAGAAATAAGAAAGTCTATTAATTCATATTTTCATTTAATTGCAATTGATGGTTTATCATTTTCAAGGAAAAATAATTAATTAAGTGTTTAACTCAACAGTTTGACCTCTCTGATCAATAAATTCTCTCATTCATTCAGGAAAGGGCATCTAGGGACTACTGTCTATTTTGCTGCCTTGAGAAGAAAAGCCCTGAGAGGTAATGATAAGGAACAAATTTCTTTTTATCAGCACATATGTTTAACAAAAAAAAAATCCATAAAAAGGAGCTGAGAACTCAAGCATAATGAACTGGGCTCTAGCAATGAATTTAGATGATAAATAACAGATGATGTAGAGAACATAAAGCTCTCAGGTAAGAAAAGAGACTTCATTTTCTCTATTCCTATATTAGAATTCGTAAAGCAAATCCTGCAGCATAATTCATGGCTTCTCAAATTTTAAATCTGGCCAATTTTCCAAACAATTAACTTTTATAGCTACAAAATACTGATGAAAGGTAAATTCTTGCCATTTTTTATCGTTCCCAGGGACAACAGTGATTTTTTAAGCAACTGTTCTACCAATCCGTTATGCTGCAGTTTTGTAAGATGCAGCTGCCTCTGGAGGAATCCTGTGGTGTCCTGATGCACTCTTTGGCGTGACCTGAAAGATTCTATCATTTCAAAAAAGGTCAGTGTACGGTCCCTGTGTAAAGTCCCTGGTGAGATGTCAGAAAGACTGAACAGTTTCATCACTTCCAAGGGAATAAAATACATGTACCTAATATGATATGTATTAGAGCTAAGTGTTACTGATGCAGTAGGAGGAAAGTTGATAAAGGGTGGAACTGGTAGACTGATTTTAGTTGCCATTAAAATCACTTACAAAAATTGAATAAAATTAAATGTTTAATACACATACATATATATATATGTACACACACACACACATACATACATATATATATATATATATATACACTCCTTATTAATGAACTCTCCTTAAATTTGAATTTGTTGTCTCAGATGGATCTAGTTTCAAAAGATTCTTGCTGTTCTTGCCATGTGAGTTCTGTGGGAGCACCAAATTGAAGATGACAAGAAGTTTTTCTATTTGGTAAAAGAAAGCTAGCAACAAGACACCATATGAGAATTTGTACACATGTATATTTTAAGTAAGGAAAATGTTTAGTGTGATTATATACTCTTATCCATTTTAGGTATCTCAATATTAAAGACTTTCTTTGTATCTCATATGCATACATCCACATGGAAAATACTGTACCATATTTGTTTTTCTTGTCACCAAGAGCATCAACTCTGCTATCTGGGTAGAGGCAAATGAAACCACGGGTGACCCTGTTGTAAAATTGAAGTGTAATGCCTTTCCGAAATTTCCACTTTTCTGCATCCCACTAGTTTTGGAAACAACAAATAGAAAAGATTTATGAAAAGATGATACAGAGGAATTTGTCACACAAAGCATTCAACCGACCTGATTTCACTCAAAGCATCATTTCAGTGGTTTAAATTAAAATGAAAAGGTATACTCTTACAGTTTTTTCTCTCTTGAGCTCCAGCTCTTGTCCTGTGCAGATAAAAACAGTGTAATTAATTTACAGAGATTCTTCATTCCCTTTGAGACTGTTTTTTTCCCCACCAATTTTCACTTACTTCCTGGAAGCATGCTGGCATGTGTCACAGGCAGTTCTCTAGCAATATTGCCATCATCCTGTCCCTGGTCCAGCCACCTAAGAACCAGAACCTCTTTCAGCAATAACCTTTATTGGCAACTTCTAAAGTATGTGTGATACTTGTATACAATACTTGCTGTCCTATCCATTAAAGTCTCAAGGCTGACAAACAGCAATGCAAAAATTCAGCTTTAGTAAAAAGAGATTAACATTGGCAAAAAATTATTTTTCTTTCTTGTTCTTAGTGAAACATAAATAAATTCTTTCCTGGACTGAGGTAAAAGGGCCTAACCCAATTTTTACATGTCAGAGAACTCATATTCATCCCAGATCAATAATGAATTGTGCAGTGGTCGTGACGTTTGTTCTTCCTGTCTGCAAGAAGGTTACAGCAAGATGCAAATTGTTCCATGCCCTGAAAATCCCTATAGGAAGAGGCAAACACAACGGTGGCAACACTTTCACCATATCTGAACTATACTTTCACAATGCCTTTGTCTACATCTACTTTTGTAAGTTAAGTCTAACTCCATTTGAGTCAAAAGCATTCCCACACTCAGAGCAAGACAGCAAGCATGGCATCAAGCTCTAACAATAACTAGCACATACCCTGTATTTTTCTGCCTGAAATGGATTTGAACTCTCCCTAAATTATGTATGAAGCCAGCATTATAGATCTCTTCATAGCAGTTCATCTCATCTAGAATACAGACTCAAAATTAGGTCAGGCAAGGATGAGGTGCTGTATCTGATAGGCAGAAAGCCCTTACTCACACATAAATCAGTTTCAGTGTGCACATCGCTCACTCTGGGCTGTCTCAGGCAGTTATTTATTCACTCAGAGAAGTGAGAGGAGGAAATAGAATTGGGGTGCCACTGGCAAGCTGCAGCTAGACTCTTACGTGACCAGATTTTACCGTTCCTAATATTTGCACTGATATTTATCGATTAAGATTTTTCCGCAAGGTGTTGAGAATTAATCAGGCATAGATAAAACTGTAAATGAGTTACAGAACAGAAGATTCAGAGCAGCATCATCTGCAGGGGAAAAGACAGGGAAGTTAGGATTGCTTCAAATTATATTGCAGCTCAATGACAGGCTGCAAAGCAAATGAGTAAAAGGGATGTGGTCAGGCAGCTGCAGTTGTGATTGTCATTTCACAAGATCTTAAAGTCTGATCTTGAGCTCACTGAACCCCAAGCTAATCTCTACACTAACTTCAGTAAATCAGGAACAGTTTGCTTGAGAGACAGCAAGCCATTCTTTTGAAAAGCCTTGCATTGCATGACATGGAAGAACAGATGAACCTGCTGGTGTCAGATACAAGGTGTTGGATATGGAAAATATGTAATAAAAGCCTATATTAAATAGTTCAAAAGGTGTGAGAATGGAAAGTTCCCAAACAGAATTTTTTATTGCTTTTTCCTTAGTTCAAAGACCAGACGTTTGACCAGATACAACTCTTAGTGCTGTAAAAAGAATCAGACCATCTCAACTCACTTCTTAGGAAACACATATCCTTAAAGGATATTTCAGGAGAAAAACTAAGAGTAGTTACAAATTTATTAAACACCCAACCAAAATCAAACATAACCAACCTGTGACAAAGAAAAGTATAATCCAAATCTGTTATAGGATCCTTGATTACAACTTTGTCCAGAAACCATCCATTGCCTTAGAAGAAATAAAGTAAAAAACAAAACGTTGTTCATGAGATAAAAATTGATGTGTTTAATTATGTCAGACTTCCTATAGTCTTTTCTCTTCTACTGGAACGCAAAATCTGCAGCTCCACTGGCAGGTTTAAATAGTCACAGCTCCCCTCATGGCTGGAGGGAGGACAGTACCTGCTCCAGATGCTCTAGATCTTCCTTATAGGCCTGCAAGCTGCTGGGTCTCCCTCTGGCTACATCCCTCCCTCCTTTAACATTGCCATCATATGAGTCTTCTTAGTTTTGCCAATCAAAATAACAACAAAATTACACAGAAGCTTATGATGGCTCAAATTAAGTTGCAATGTTTGCAGTATTTAGGCTCTAGAGATTGAAAAATAGGACCTGTGACTGCAATCATTTTAAGTTTCACCATTAATTGGAAGTCTAATAACAAGATAGGGTTACAAAAATCTTCAATTGCATCTTTACAGTGCAACTGATAATGCTAATCCATCCAAAATTATAGTAGATCATTTTAACTTGAATACAAGACACAATCAATGTCTTAACATGCAAACATTCCCCCTCTTCACAGTTTTTCACAGGGATTAGTAAAAAATTATTATCAGACGCTGTCCATAACATAGTTGAGAGTAGAGTGCAGGTGAGATTTCTGACCTGATCCAAGCCCATTGTGTCCTATAACAATCTTGTACAAACATCCAAGGTGCACAGCTTCAACAGCAAAGACGTCAGTCTGTAACCAACCAACAAAATTTCAGAAAAATCTAAAAAGCAGAGTATTCTTCTGCTACAAAATTCTGAAGACCCAAAAACCCTTATAACTTTGTCTTATATAACCCTTATAACTTTGTCAATATAACTTTTCTCAAGATTGTTGCAGCAGCTCTCTGGTCACAGACAACAACAGACAACTTTCCCAGCCATTGTTCTGGGAAAGGCTGTCAGAAGATCAAGAAAAGAATGAGAAACAATTCTTATCTTCACGTCCTGCACCTGATATTGTAAACACGTGGAATGTGTTATGGAGATTTGTTTCTTAATTAGCCAATGTTTCTTAGGGTGGTTTCTTAATTAGCCAATGGTGATGGTGTTTTGATTGGAGGACCAATTAGGTCCACCTCTAGAAAACTAGGGTATAAAGGTATGGGTTTCTTAATCAAGATGATAACTGGCCTTCTGTGACTGCATGGAGTCTATGTCAATTAGTGCCTGGTCCTGGCCCATTGTGCTGACACAAGATCTTCATCTGAAATATTAGGTGATGATAAAGGCATCATAGATAGAATTTTGTAAATTAAAATTCTCACTTCCAAAAGCACTGGTATAACTTTAGAAAGTATTTGTAACTTGATTAGGGAATTTTGGAGAGCCATTAGAATGTAGTAATTATCTCTTTTCTAACTGCATCTTTCTTGAAATCACCACCCACCCGAGAGAGAAAAGCCAGCCAAACATATCCAAAAAATGCCCTTTCCCTTACTTGTCCTTTTAAAAATTTCTTGGGTTTCTGTGACCTGAGCAGCTGTCTTGATCCTGTATCACCTCTTTCTCCATAGACAGAAATATAAACATCAGCCTCAGTTCCAGCATTCCACAGGTCTCCTGTTGTCACGTGCACTTTGTAAACAGTCACTGAGAATAAAAGATGACAACTTTTCATATCACAAGCACTATTATATAGTTACAATAACATCTAGATGGCTGTAGAGTCCAAAGATGTCTGTGGCAAGGACAGGGTATAAAACTTTAAGAAACCTATTCAATAAAATAAAACGCAAAGTAGATTTTATGTTTTTTATGGTTGTTTTCTTCATTGTTGTGTCCCAGGCTGTCATTTGTTCGGAATGCAAACAGAAGTTAATTTTAAATGACCAGGAGCATACTTGGTCCTGCAGCATCATTTGAAATCATCATAAACTGAAAAGTAAGTAATGTATATCCAAGATTGGAGTCACCATAAGTGGTGAGATCAAAACTATAAAAAGCAATGGGAACCATTAACAATTTGAATGCACTGGTTGACCAAGTAGGCTAAAATCTAGCACCATAATTTTCGTTTTCTAAGACCTCAAAACTTAGAACACTGCACTGCTTTATTATTTTAGCAATTAATGTTACAGGATAGAATCATAGAATGGTTTTGGTTTGGGAGACACATTTAAAGACCATCTAGCCCTTGCCATTTTCATGGACAACCTCAGTTATACCAGGTTGCTCAGAGCCATGTCCAACCTGACTTTGAATGTTTCCAGGGATAATTACGCTCTCTATATTCCATATGGAAATTCTTTAAAGGATATAAATTTAGGATGGAATAATTAAGATTTAAATTCAATAAATCATTTCTTTAATAAGAATGCATATTGCAAGTAGAGCTAAATTTGAGTTAAAATATGATGAAACTAAAGACTACGTTACATAAAAATGTCTACTGATATAAAATTGTGGTCCTTAAAATGCAGATGTAGGAACTCCATAAAATTCAGAAGTAAGATAAAACATGCAATCATAATCAGTAATAATAATTCAGTATTAACATGGGAAAGGAAAAATTTATGTCAATATATGCTAACAATATTTTGTTAGACCAGATGAGGTACAGAGAGAATTAAAGGGGAAGACAAAACCTCATTTTCTGGCACACAAGCTCTTCTTCCAAGGGTTGGTGTCTGTGTGCTTCTCTGTCTTGCAAGCAGAAAAGAGTTTCTGAATCACTGGGTCCGAAACAGCATCAACATTATCATCATTCAATTGTCAGTTTCTATTTGAAACATGTTATGAAGCTTGGCTGTAATTCTCTGAAGGAGGTTGCTTCCAGATCTCACTTTTCTGATGGTCAAACACCTTCCTTTAACAAGCCCAGAAGATTTATTCACCGTCAGTACATATCTGCAATTATGCTAGGTGGCTGGTAGGTGTTACAATTTTTCTATTCGTCCTTATATTTTTCATGATTATCTCTCATTTATTTACACGGGTTTTTTGTGCTTGTTACTAAACAAACTATCTTTAAAGAATTCAATTTGAATAATGGTAATAATTTAGCAAAAACACTAAAGAACCAGCACATGGGTTTTAATGTGCCCACACAGAACACTAGTGGTAATTTCCTTCTGGTGTGAGAGCTAACTCATTTTGAGATCAAGCCTCTGAGCTCCTCTGAAATACGTGACAAAGGCCAGCCACATTTAACACACAGAAGCTTTCCATGCACTTGAGTTAGCACCATAATCAGGCACTATCTTTCCCACTGTATGCCTGTCTCAATACTTAAAATAGTTTTCACTTGGCAAATGAAAAGTTGCTAAATGAAAACTATTTACTAATAGTAAAAACTATTTACCAATACTAATTGCCGTATGAATTTAATTCATACTGCAATTTACCCATATAATTTCACATGTCACCACTTGATCTATTTACTTGTCCAATTTTTTCTTTGCAGCACCCACATGAACACATGCCCCATGAACAGACCACAGCAGAGGGAGAGAATTAATTTCTCTAGATCAACAATTCCATATCTAGGACCACAAAAATGCTCTATTGCAACAAGTTCCTCCTTCAATAACTATCTGCTTTCTAATTCCTGTAAGAAGAAAACCAAAGGTCCATAGTTACCAATACTGTGTATCCCTGGTTTATTCTCAGGATATAATTAATGATTGTGTCATAACAGACAGGGACAAAAGTAGAATGGTAGAGGATAAAACGTCAAATGAATTCTGCTCAGTCCTCCAGCATTATAATAACAAAGTTTTTATGTAACACTTCTTAACAGTTTAATTCCCATGTTTTCCTTTGAATAAAAAAGAATGTTAAATCAGAGAGTGCTTCAGCCTCTTTTTATTCAGAAATTGGTTTTAAAGTGCCTCTCATCATCTCTCTTTCACATTGAATCCAGACCCCTTCACTGCTCTGTTATCAAACTATCTTCTCTGAAGTTAAAAGCTGTGTTCCCTTTACACTGTCTCATGCAGAAATATAACACTGGTAAAAAGACACAGGAGTCATCTTTCAATTACTAAATCAGAGATGAAACTGCCTTCTCCAAAGCCTTCTGCATGACCCCTTTTACACTGAAGCTGGCAGAAATGCACAGAAGCTCTTTTCTTCCTCCCTTCCGTGAGAGAGAAATTGTTAACTACAAAATGCAGATTGAGGGGTTGGTTGTAAGTGTGCCTTTGTGCTTTTCATGCATGAAGATTACTCGATAATAAAAATCTTTCATTGTATCTTCATTTCAGAAACAAGGAGAGCTGCTACTCAGAAAGAGCCCAAAAATTAGGATCTTGAGAGAATCACAGAATATTCTGTGTTGGAAGGGACCACAGGAATCATTGACTACAATTCTTAAGTGAACAGCCCATATAGGGATTGAGTCCACAACCTTGGCATTATCAGCACCATGTGCTAACCAAGTGAGGTTCTCGAGGTCTGCATCTCAGGATATTTAAACAAGAGCATGTTTGGGGAAGAAAATATATTGCAAATAGGGTAATAGAGCATATTCAATACAATACATCAATCATCATTAATTAGCATTTATTCAAAGGGGTGAGGAGGCACTTGATTTTTATACCAGTGTGTTTGTATGTTCCCCTATAAAAACAGTATTGATCTCATGACCAAAGAGACCAAAATTATGAAGAAGCAGGCTGAGTGCCTCTGAGGTTTCTCTTGTCATGGAGATCATGACCACCCAAGACCAAAAATCATTATGGTTAATGTGGATGGGCCTCTCTCTCTAGAGCATCTTATGAGCCATTGTCATCTGCTAAGTACTGGGGGAAATCTCTCCCATTATTCTTTGTCCTTAAAACATACTTTTGAGGCACAAACCTGTTTTTTTCTGATCTTCTTAAGGTTCTTAATTTCAGAGCTCAGTCATCACAGAGAAGCATAAATATAACTCCAGGCCACCCATCTCTTTATTACAAGAGTAACTGTCCCAAGGTAAGTTTTCCCACATCCATGGACCATTCTCTGGACTTCTGCCCCTCGATTTTATTTGTATATATCCTCTTCCTCTAGCCTGCACCCACAATATCTCTTACCACTGAAATACCTGTTACGATTCCAATTTTGAAAGATCAACACAAGGGACCATAGACACACCATAAAGTACTGATAAATTGTTAAACATTCTGAAAAAGGGGTTTAATAGTTTTTAGGGAACTTAGAATGGAAGTTTCTCTCATCCCATTAATTTTGTCCTCTGCAGCTGACACAATTTTTGTGGGGAAGAGAAGAGGACATGTCCCAGGTGGATCTTTTTCTAGTGAAGTCCTAGCACAAGTACTAATAGTGGTTTTATGGCTTTTCCCCCTCTAGCATCACACCCCAATAGAATGGGAATTTGCCACAGCATTCTTGCTCCCTCACGCACATCTCTCCCAGGACACACTGCTCTTGTTAAGCCCTTGTAATTTTCTTAGAAATTTTTCCAGAATTTCCTTTTTTCCAGAAAAGGACAATGCCAATTAGAGAGAAGGGAGGAGCAAGGACAGACTTTCTACCCCTTTCCACTGATCAAGCAGAGGGGTCACATAGCAGCATCAGGGACTGGTGTGGTAGAGCAGGACACTAAAACAGTGCAACAGCAGCAACACCCAATAATTTTCATATCCTTTGGAAGCATTCATCTTTAGAATTACAATACAATCTCTCTGTGAATAATGGAGATCTTAACACTATATATATTTATTCTGAAAGTTTTATTCCACATCCAAAAATTAAAAATATTCTGGAAGTCTGAGCCACTTACCTGAAAGAGACTGTTACAACAGTAACACTGGAGCTGTAATCCTCAGTTATTGAAAACAGAGTTTGTGATCTGGCTCATATGCTGGCTTCATGGTTGTTACATGTCTGACATGTCTTTACTACTGTCTTTATTTTAAACCAAACATAAGCACTGGAAATCTTACCAAACAAGAAATCTACTTTAAGAGCATGTGAAATTCAAAGCATTAAAGACTCTCTCATTTCTTTTCCAGTGCTTTTTAACTTTTCACCTGAGTATGCACAGTAACAACAGGAAAGCAAAGCAGAAAAAGTGTTGCAGCAGACAAAAAGTAATAGAGGGCCTGAAGAAAAACAATGAACTTGCCTCTATCGACATCAGTCTGGGCTCTGACTTTGCTGATGTGGTATTGTGCTTACCTGGAAGAATAGGCTGACCCTGCTGGAAAACAGGAAGCTCCACAGATATTTCCCCATCAGCCTGGTCCTTGGCCAGCCATCGATGTGCGGGGAAAGAGAACTGCTCCCCTGAGAAAAGGTTCAGTAACTGCACCTAAGTAGCATCAAGAATTCCAATTTAACTTGCTGATCTCAGAACAGATGGAACAGAACATTAAACCTGTGGGATGCTGTTGAAATCTGTGCAGGTAGAGCTTTGAGGATAACCACAAACCCATGGGTTTGGAGCATTTCTTCTCCCTGGATCCAACTGCCCAAATCTGGCTTTTGGCTCAGTCATATTTGAAAGCTCAGGGCAGAGTAACTCAAGTGCAACTGAGAAACAGGTTTTTGTCAGCTCAGGAACACTCCCACAAGCTCCAGCTGTTGCTCCAGCTGGTACATCCATGGGGGCTGGCACTAGGTGACATGGCTTACCACAGACAGAACTTCTAACGAGAGGAAGCTTGTCAATGCTTGTATCTCTACTCCTTATACTTTTATCAGAACAGGAATTAAAGGGACAGGTGTTGATTTTTCAACAGTCCTTGTGACATAAATAAACCATGAAAGTACCCCAACGAGCCCCAACACCAACTGAGGCCTGCACAATGCCCTACATTATTTTCTTCCATGCCCAGCTTCAAGCATGTACCAGCAAAAGGACCATATGCAAACCAGCTGAAGGAGGAAAAGAGGTTATTTTGTACTTCAAAGTATTCCTTAGTAAGCACTTCAGAGGCTGCTGTATGTTCTAATACTTCCTGATTATGCTAATTTATACCCATATCTAAACTAGATTTTGGATCAGCAGACAGAAGGGAAGACACTCCTACTTGTAGTTTCACCCTGTGCTTTGCAGAATCTTATCTCCTTAATTTGAATATTGAACAAACTCAGATTTACTGGAAACATTTTTATCTCTTTTGCTGCTTGAATATTAAAATTTAAGGACAAAGATTCATCTCGTCTGAAAAACCTGGAACACCTTAGCCTGTTGACATCTGCTGATGAAGGCTGAAAGGGAAATTTGGATTAGCAAAGCAGCACCTCTGTGGACATTTCCAGGTCTCAGTACAGATACAGACACAGAGACCTTGGAACACTGATAGAGTGTGATAACACTGATATTCCTTAGTAAGCACTTCAGAGGCTGCTGTATGTTCTAATACTTCCTGATTATGCTAATTTATACCCATATCTAAACTAGATTTTGGATCAGCAGACAGAAGGGAAGACACTCCTACTTGTAGTTTCACCCTGTGCTTTGCAGAATCTTATCTCCTTAATTTGAATATTGAACAAACTCAGATTTACTGGAAACATTTTTATCTCTTTTGCTGCTTGAATATTAAAATTTAAGGACAAAGATTCATCTCGTCTGAAAAACCTGGAACACCTTAGCCTGTTGACATCTGCTGATGAAGGCTGAAAGGGAAATTTGGATTAGCAAAGCAGCACCTCTGTGGACATTTCCAGGTCTCAGTACAGATACAGACACAGAGACCTTGGAACACTGATAGAGGACTAATGTGCCTAACTACCAGAAACTAACTCTGCAGTTTAGAAGACACTCTTTTAATTTTAGTTCTTCCTGAAAAAAATGTAGAAATGTAGAAACAGTGATGCTAAGTGTCTGTAGGTGGTTCCTCTTGTGTGAAGTCTAGAAATCAATGACTGTATTCCTTTGTCTCTGAACCATAAAAAACACTATCTTTAAGATTTGAATGTATTTCCTTTTTTTTTTCTTTTCTTTTACTTTCTGCCCAAAGTTGCAAAGAGGTAACGACCTGGCCCTGGCTGATGAATCACTCCCTAAAAACTGTATCTGATTGGCTGAGATTCCATAAAGAGACAGTTGAAATTTATAAATAAATAACTAATGGAACACACTGAAGTGTTGGGGTTTTTTAAATTTTACTGTTGATTTCAATTAATATATCCTAGGTGGAAAGAAGGTTAATAATAACTTTTCTTTTTTTCTCTTTCTTTTTGTTTTTTGTCAGACTTCCTCTGTCTCTCCTTTTTAAATTTCTATCTCCAAAACTCAGTACAGTTGTAAAACTAGTAGCTAGGTTTTATAATGAGGCAGTCATCACTTGAATCGAAAGAGATATAATCCCTATAATTCTATTAGGAAATCTCTTAAGAGTGATAACTGTTTAGTCTTAGATAGATTATATTTCAGTGTAGACATGAACTGGCTAGAGATATGAGCTCACAGGGTCTTGCTTAAACTTCAGTTAACACTTCCCAGATCTCTTCCTTCTGAGTCACAGGCCTAGGTAAAGAGAAGCGTCAAATAGCCACAGATTTTGAACACTGATCAATGAACATTTGACTTCAGTGGGCACTTTGCATTTGATAGATCTAGATATATCATGAAATATAATTTAAACATTGAGTTTACCAGCAGCTTCTAAAGCTCTTCATAAACTGCAATCTCTTGACTGAAAGATAAGAAGCTCTGGCACAAAGATGGAAGAGTTTCAGGCATGCATAGGATATAACTGGCACACAGGATATCACAATGGATATTAGGATAAAAGTCAGATCCTTTAATTTCCAGTCCAAAAACCTCTATACTATGCTTCTCAACCAAACCCTGAAACACAACCAGCTCATTCTCTTTGCTTTATTATACTTGCTTAAACTGCATCAAGATATTTTTCACATGAGGAGGGAAAAGGACATCTTCTTGTCTTTTTCTTGTCAGAGACACAGAACTAGAAACATTTGCAATGTAGCTCTGGTGCTGTGCATAGGGACCCATAGGCATCAGCCACAGATTTGGGGAGGACTTGGTTAGGCTGGGTTCAAACAAACTGCAGGCACTTTGTAGCATAGAAAAACTGTAGAAGACTCAGAGTATAGTAGCTAAGTTAAGCAGTCTTCCTTGCTGCCCAGCCACACATTTTTAAAGAAACATAATGTATTAAATTCCAAACAGCCAACCCAGACATCATAAGCTGCTTTAATTCCACACAAAACCATTCCTTCATAAGTAATCCCTTAAATGAAGGTGAAAGCATTTCATGAGGCTAATATAGCCCCAGGGATTATTTTTACTCATATTTTGAATCCACTGTCATAGTGACTGCTTTTGGACAGATAAAATTCTTCCTCACTGCTTTTACCTCTTTGCAGTGCCAGGCAGGGGAGTTTCCTGCATTTGTATGTCCTATACGTATTTTGTAGAGATGTCCTATGTTCCTAGTATTGACCTGTAAAAGAAACAACTAATGAAACACAGAACATTTGTTAAAAAAGACAGAAATTCCTTTAGGAGTTGTAAGGTGAGACTTTTGATTTGAGGAATTAAATATTCTGACATTTAAACAAGCTTTTCCAACATATTTTACTTCAGATAATCCTTAGACATCTGGGTCTTCTAAAAGACAGCCCTCAAAAATCCCATTGACCTGCCAATCCCATTTAAAAATCTTCAGGAAGTTGCTGTAGTAATTCCTGGCTGAATATTTGCCTCAGAGGGAGTTGAATAGATGTCAGAACTCAAGACACCCCTCTGGGTGACCTGGATGGCTTGGGCCCCTGGCACGGGGCTGATGAGCCCTGGCAGAAGGCCAAAAACACTTGGGAATTCGATCTTAGCCCTTGGGAGAAATTACCAACCTCGTATGAAGAGTCACAGGCCACAAAAGTCTAAGTAGCATTGTAGTAGTGAGCAGGGGGTGAAGGGAAAATTTTGGAACCATGTACGGGGGGGTTTAGAACCTTGTACAGGGGGGTTTGGAATTCTGTACATGGGGGTCAGAGGGTCCAAGATGGAGGGATTTGGGCGTGCCCTGTCCTTCTTCTTTCTTCTCCCTGGCATCCATGTTCAGGATGATGTTGGCACTCACAGATTGGTTTAAGAGTAGAAAGTCACTGTCTAACATAGGTGATAGGTATTGGAAAATAACTGTAAACATAGTATACATAGTTTTTAGTATAAAAGATAGCACCAGCCCAGGAGGCGGGTAGTGTGCCTCAGACCGACCTGCCAGACAGGCCTGTGGCGGGCTGGAGAAAAAACATCTTAGATAAGCAAAAATAAACGACCTTGAGAACCACAAACGAAGAACTCCGACTCTTTCTTCGACCATCAGGCTGGCTCGGGGTCATCCCGACTTTAGGGAACCCAAGAAATAGAGACCATATGTATAACTAAAAAGCAAAAGTGTCTTGACCATAAAACCTGTCTCAGTTTAGCATCTATACTAGTGACCTGCTCCAAAATTATTTTTACATATACCTCTGAGTTTCTCCCTACTCCTCCAGGAGTGTATGCCTTACAATTTTTTGGAAACAATTGTGTTCAGCTTTGACGCTTCTTTTTACAAAAAAATTCAATTAAATCAGGTTAAAAAGCTGTATTTGAAAGATTAGCTTTTGGGCAGGCTGGATGAATATGTCCAGTACAGATAAGAGGGTGCTGAGGGAATAACTTTGTGTGAAGGTTATTCAAACAACCTTACTATGAACTTAAGTGTAGAAATAGAAAGCTTATCTTCAAGGAACTGGAAGTACACCATCAGTCTTCCTTCCTCACTGTATAATTTGTTTTGTTATAATGTAGGCTTGATTTTCTCTCCTGTTGTTTTCCATAGAATTAATTTTTGTGTTTTCATTTACATTGTATAGATGGGTGTGAATTGAGTTACCTGTATCATGAATTACCCTGAACTCAGTGTTATAAATGATAAAGAGGCAGAGCAGTGAGGACAGGCCACAGTTATGTGCAAATACAGTGCACTCAGAGAGCCTTTTCTCTTCCTGTATATTTCAGAGTAGGTTCTCCTTAATTGTATTCAGTGCTATGGGTACTTGCCTAACAGAGGAATCGTAGATCTCAAACAATGGGACTGTGCTCTATATTTTGCATTTAAAAGTCATTGTGACTTTTAAATGGTGAAATTAATTTCAGTAATGGCAACAGGAAACAGCCATCAACATCTGTTGTGAAGAGGGTCTTTTAATCTGTCAGGACCTGCTTACTTGTTTTATCCACTCCTTTCAATCTAGCTGGTTTTGATATCATGGATAGAGAATGATATTCTCTATCAGCTGGATTCTTCTGAGAAAAGGGACAAGAACTGCACTTCCTGCATCCCAAACATCTACGGGGTGAGCTCTTTATCAATGCTGGCATCAAACACCTTTTCTCAGAAGGGGAGCTGCTATGCTGGATACTAATGATGGAAGCACCTACTTGTCATATGGCCTTATAGAAGACACCTGTAGACAAACTCTGACAATCCTATATACACACACAAGCTGTGCAGATTGTGATAAAGGACCTAGTCTTGCTCACTTAAATCACCATGTTATAAGACTGATTGAGGAAGAATTTGTTAGTGTAACTGGAAACAGTTTCAGGTAGATTTATTACAGGTATAAAATTTTTTTTAACTATTGTTATAATGCAACTATTGCAACCATTTCAATAAAGCAGCAGGTGTTTAACAAGGTTAAAATTTTACTCCATATCCTAATTCTTCAGTTCCTCATTTAATTTTTAATATTGTAGCCCTGTTTCAAATTTGCAAACTAAACAAGTTGTCACATGTTTCTTGGCATTTTCTTGGGCACAATGCAAATAAAACAGTAGTTCTTCAACAGACAATAAACATGTTGAATCAAATAAGCTTTGGATAAGTGAGTGGAAAAGGATACTAAATTTAGCTCTACATTTAAGTCTCCTTTCTCATTTCTAGATATGTGCAATGTACGAAAAGCTGCCTTTTTATCACATGGAGTTTGAAATGTCATGCAATCTGGCAGGAAGCAAGAGGGCAACACAATGAATATATATTACTTACTGTGAAGATGTCTTCATTGCCTCTCTGAAATAATTTTCCCTTCTCTCCATCAAGGAAAATAGGACCTGAACTGCCACGATCCCCGTACAATGCAATATAAACCTTTGAGCTTGTTCCTGCAGATGGCACATCACTGGTGAGGACTGACACATTCCATTTCCTAGCTATCAAAAGATAAAAAGACTCACTGAATTACTTAAATTCAAGATTCTTAAATAAAATGCATTTTGGTAATCAAAATTCTAAGTAATAGCATGTCAATGAAATATGTGTTTCACAAAATTACAGCAGGCAAATATTGAGTTTGCTGTGTTTGGCATGTCAGGAAATGTCAGGTTGCATTCATATACTTTATTCTCAATGTCCTCTATGACCAAGTGAAATTTGAAGGAATGTAGACCGCCTTTCAAACACAGTTTTGAAATATTGTATTAAATATGGGGTTCTCCTTACTTTGGAAATATCAGCTCTACTCAGTGCAGTGCTGTTTAATGACAGCTTTAAACATTAGGAACCCTGAAAGAAAATTAGCTCTGCTGAAAGTGAACTGTTTAAGAAAGGATCTGTATCTCTGCAAAGGTGTGATCAGCTACACAGATGTAGCAGCTTGTTTGGAACACACTGAAGCTTTACCAGCACAGGAAGGACTTTGATCTATTGGAGAAAATCTAGAGACAAGCTGATCAGAGGGATGAAGAACCTCTGATAGGAGGAAAGTCTGAGAGAATCAGGTTTATTCAGTCTGGAAAAGAGAAAGCTTCAGGGTGGCCTTCCAGTAACTGAAGGGAGCCTACAGGAAAGATGCAGAGGGACAAGAACATGTAGTCACAGGAAAAGGACAATGGCTTCAAACTGAAAGAGAACAGGTTTATATTAGGTATTAAGGGAAAATTCTTCACTGTGAGGGTGGTGGGGCACTGGAATATGTTGACCAGAGAAGCTGTGGATACCTCCTCTCTGGAAGTGCTCAAGACCAGGTTGGATGGAGTCTAAGCGGAAGGTGTCTCTGACCACTGCGGGGGGGGTGGAACTAGATGGGTCTTAAGGCCCCTTGCAACCTAAACAATTCATTCAGCTGAAATTAGCTGATGATTGAATTTCTTGTTTTGCTTTGCTTGTGTATGCACCTTTTTCTTTACCTATTAATCTTTATCTCAACCCATGAATCTTCTCTCTTTTACTCTCTCCAATCCCGGTGGTGGAGAAGTAAGGAAGCAGCTGAGTGGGGCTTAGTTCTGACAGGGCCTAATCTGTGATACAAAGTGAGAAAATTGTATTAACTATTCCCCATAACTCTTACAGTGGATCAACATAGCAATTAGGTTAACGATATTTTATACCATTAGTGCTATAATAGTCAAGGTACTTGTTTAGTAGTGATACGTTGAACAATTAAATGGTCTTCTTCTGGCATCCTTATAATTAAGAGAAATATGCCTAATGCGTTTCAGATGATTGAAGGAAATAGAGAAAATATTTATATAGGAGAAAAACTTGAGAAAATGTCTGATTTTGTTGATGGATACCAAGGAAGTTTTCTAAGTAAATTACAATGATGGCTTTGGGACACGTGTATAAACTAACCATGAGCAGGTTGAGGATGGAAACTAGAAAACATTCAAGACAGACATCAGAAGCAGGACTCAAGCTCTAGAACACCTCTCTAGTGGAAACTGCAATGACTACAGAGAAAAAGATTTAAAATCAGATTTAGTAATTAAGTGAAATTACTTACCTAATTGTGTCATTTCCCTCTAGCAAGCAGCTAAACTAGATAAACAGAGTTCCTGGGACTGTGATCTATATGTTAAGCTGGCTGTTTCTTTTTAAATTATGGTAAGATAAAAACTGAATTCCTTCCAGATGTATGGCATACTCTGTAAATCCCAGAATGCTTGCTGAATGCTTTTCTGAGCTACTAAAGTAGCTCATATTACTCCTCATGGAGTTTTTGCCTCTGTCAGTCAGTATGTTCCTCTAGCACTGTGAGGTCCTCTCTTCAGCTTTCTACAATCTTAACTATGAATACTATTTTACTTTATCTGTGCATCTCAGACATCTGATATTCTCTATTTTTGCTTTAAGTTAAACCAGGAAGTGTTTAGATTGGATTTCAGATTGGATAGGAAAAATTACTTCACTGAAAGGGTTGTGAAGCATTGGAAGGTGTCCAGGGAAGTGGGTGAGTCAGCAACCCTGAAGGTATTTAGAAGATGTATAGACATGACACCTGGGGACATGACTTAATGGTGGACTTTGCAGTTCTGGGTTAATGGTTGGACTCAGAGATCTTTTCTAACCTAAATGATTCCACAATTATCTGATCTTCCCTGTACCACTAATGAATATACAAACCCTATGACAGTAAGGTACATCTCACTGTCAACCTTTTGCCCTGCTCTGAGCTGACCATTTTATTGCTTCTCTTTCAGTTAACAGAAATCAAAACCAAGTCTATCAGTTAATATTCATTTCACCACTTGCTGTGGTCTCTGCTAATTGTATCCTGAGGGAGTACCTCACATCTCATGTTTCCAGTGCTTAGTTTGCTCTGTAACCCTCAGTAACTCAGTAATAAGGATCTGATTAAAGGCTCCTGAACCTTGATCTGGAAACACTGAGGTGTTGTGAATGTAGCACAAAGTGCTCTGAATCCAGCAGAAAGACTGTGAGTGGTGGAGATATACATAGCTGTTAATTTACCTATAATTTAGACATTATTTACAGCACAGAATGCTGGATTCTAGCAATTTTGAGTTATATTTTTCAAACAAAGATTTTATTTCTCTATCGACATGTCAAGGGATGAAAAAATACAATTGAGACTCTTCACTTGAAGCACTTCTAAAACATGTGAAGGAGGACACCAAAATAAGTGGAGATGGACAGAAGAATGTCAGAAAAAAAGGGCAGCATAGGAAATAACATGCAGCTATCTGGTGTGAAATACATTAGACAATACATTTTGCTTTACAGTTATAACATTCGTTTATTACATAATATACACCACTTCAAACAACAGAAATAAAATATTTATTTAGGGGGAAATATATCAGCCACTGGACTTCTAAAAAACTGGGTGCTTCTAGGTTTCCTACACGTGCTACAAACCACTTTTGTTTCACATCCAACTTCTACATCCCTTCCACGTGCCTTCTGTCCCACACAGACACAACCAACAGCTCTGGGCCAAGAGCAATTTGCGTCAGCCTTTTATTAGGTCCCCAATCTGGATAACCAAAGGATCATGACCCAGGGCTTATCAGCCCTGTACAGCATGTACATGTAGCTATTCTAGACAGAGTCTTCAACAGTACAGAATGGCCATATTCTCATTCTCTACCTGAATAGCGGCACCTTCTTTTTTCAGGTGTATCTCTGACTTCACTAACAATGAAGAGGAGTACTATGCAGTATTAGGAATTAAAATCTAACCAAAAAACTGAAACACTCTCCCTAACCACAATATACATTAAATATTTTTCAATTTTGTGTGTTACATCATTTACTGAAATTTGCGAACCATATATAGGTGCTTACTACATACACGCAGTATTTAAAAATGTTGTAAACAGGTACACAAAATAACTCTAACAACAGATTGAAAGATCCTGAAACATATTGCATATGCCTTGGATTCTCAAAATACAACATATTTACAAAAAAAAAATCAAACAAAGGAAAAAACACAAAACAAAACAAAACCACAAATACAATCTCTAAAGTACAGACAGAGGTTAAGTTAGAACACACAACTAAAACTTTCAGTGTATGTAGAACAATTTAAAGAGTAAGTGATGCTGTCTCAGAAAGAAATATGGCAAGGGCAGTCAGGAAGTCCATAGCAAACAGTCTCCATTCTCAGCTCCTAAATATGCCCCTTTTCTAGTGTCCTCTGAGTTAAATAGGCCTCCTTGTTTGGTGTTTGGATGAGCCTACATGGAAAAATCTATTTACTTACATACATGTTCTGCAGCTGGCCTTTAAAATCTCAAACAGCAATTTTATCATGTATATCTATATAAAATTAACATGACTTCTGTTTCCTACTTGTTATTCTATGACAGCATTTGAATAGTATTTCCTACTTTTCATTTTAAATTAAATGTGTCAGTTGATTTTCTTCTGGGAAAGCATTTCTACTGGAACACAGTTTTCAAACTCCTCAAATGTCCTGGAATATAAAAATCTTATCTTAAATCTTGGGCAGGTATTTCAAATTTCAGTTCTCAGTCAAACAAAACAGGCGACATTTCTCTAAAATTAGATGATCGGTATGCCACTACCTCTTAAAAGATAATATTTCATGGAAAAACTGTTTCCTAGCCAAGAAATCATTGCCTTGGAAGTACAACTTTTCTTCGTATAGTGGTTCTCATAAAAAATTAATTAATATTTGTATTTCAGAACTGATATACAATTGTGACTTATTTTTATCTAGTTATTCACACTGGGAATTTTATTGGTTGTGCCATTCACCAGTTTGTTATATGATTTTTTTTTTCTGAAGATGTTTTCACTAATGTAATGTAATGGAAATTCTAAGATCTTTATTACAAGTCTTTCTCGTCTTTACTGTTCCCACTGTTCATTGTAGAAGAGTAAACAACTTCTTCTTTGTCTTCTTCTGTAGAAAAAACATTTTTATTTTTCAGATTTTCAGAGGCTTTATGTTCAATGCTATTTAAGGAAGTGTCACACTTCCGAAATGTTTCGGAGTGACAGGTTTCTGCTGGATCAGCCAACATGGGAGAACATTTTTCCCCAACTATATAAATTAAATTTATTCTTAAGGTTTGACATTTTTTTGTCTTTCCATTGGGTAGCTCAGTATTTGTGCACGTGACAAGATCACTGGGTATGTGTTTAGATACACTATTTTGACAATTTCTGGCTTCCATGGGGTTTGCATTCATATCCTCTGCAATATGTAACTCCCCTAAAATATTTGTGTCTTTCAAATTTGAGGATGCAAATATTCCAAAGTTACTAATAAAATCTAAGGTGTTATCAGCATAAAACTTATTAAAGATATTATTGACAATCTTATTGATAGAGTTATTCTTCAAAGTCACATAACTATTTTTGTCTCTCAGGTCTTGACCTGACCATTCTAAATGTTTGCTCTTTTTGGCCAACAAATATGGACTCAGCTGGTTCTCAA